TATGACGCATAGTCTTCTGAAACCTAAATATTGGCAGTTATGCCTTTAGTGTCAGTTTGAGACGCAGTGGCCTGTCATCTAACTTCTAATCTTCTAACATTACCCATCGACATCAAGTATCGTTGTATAAAGAGCAAGAAAGTCAGAGAAAGGGGTGGAGGGATGGCTCAAACCAACACAGGACTTTCACCCAGGAGAGACCGCTGTTTCATAACTTTTTGCCACAGTAATGACAGTAATTTGTTTTGAATGATTTTTAACAGTACAGTGTTGGACTGCAGATCAGAACATGCTATCATTCTGGTGGGCATGGACAATGTAGTTTGAAGGTTCAAGGTTACTGTATTTGTACCCATGGGTAAATTGGGTTTGCAGTAAAAGACAAGGCATTCCTCATTACAAAAATATAAAAACAAAAAAAAGAAATTCTTACAAATATTTCAGGTTTTCTGAATGTCTGAATGTCCAATCTAAAGCTTGTTCTCGTTTGTGAGAGTCGAGTCAGCTGAATGACTACATCTCTGTGTTGGGAGCTGCTAAGTGTGTGAAATCACTGAGTGTGAATAGTGCTGCAGAAAGAAACATTACCGCTGAGGCACCTTAACTGTGACTTTGAACGCTCTTCATCGGATCAATACTTTACTTCACTGCACCTGCTTGAGGTTTGGGAGGAGCAGCTTTCACACACATTTAAACATCAATGCACCTGTGAATTCATTATTTGCATCAGGACCTTTTGCCTCACCATTTCTTTTACATATTCCCTGTGTTTTGGTCTTTATTAAACTTATAATAGGTAAAGTACTCAGTGTTTGACATTTGATGGCATTAGATGTGTTTGTGTATACCAGATACTGTAAAACATCTCTTTAGCTCCTGTTCCGGTGTTGTACAAAGAAAAAGTGATAGACGTATTTATAAATTAAAAAAAAATTAAAAAATGTGATGTGATATTGAACTTTTCTACAATAAAATAACAGTTTCAAAATCATCTTGCTACACTAACTTGTACTAGGGTGAATGGTGCTTCTGTCATTCCCACTCTGCGCCCCGTCTGCAGTGTTTAACGCTTTACAGCACTAAGTCACACACCACCAACTATGTCACTGATTTTGGTGATTGGACAGTAAAGTAACTGCTGCTAAATTAATTCCTGTTATCTAGTTAGGTTAGCCAGTACTGCCCGGGACTGGTAGCACTGGAGCTTTGGACCACGGGAGAGGAGGAAGTTTTCATGCCTGGGACAGCGAGACGAGTGCTGATGGAGAGCTTGCGCCGGCGACATGCCAGAACTGGATCTTGGCGAGAGGGCAATGTAACCGGGTTCAGCATCTTCTATAGACAGAGCTAATGTCAGAGGTTCAGACACCTCAGAGGACGTTGATGGAGGAAGCTAATATGAGAAAAGGAGACAGTAAATGTGGGACAGGCTATTAGTGGTCAGCTAAAGAGAGCTTGGTAAAATAAGTCTTACTGTTGGACCAGTCAGTAATATTAACTACTTGCTGTGTTTTTAGCAAAGTATCATATGTAATCATAACGAATATAAAGCTGTCTATAATTACCACAGTGGGATTGAAACAAATACCAAATCAAGTGTTGCTTTAAACAATATAAGTAAGAATTAAATAAATGTTATTACATGTAATGGGGATTACAACTGTAACTCTCTTATTTGTAGGTTTGTTTTTTTTTTTGTTTTGTTTTTTTACTTTACATATCATTAGTTCTTCGTTGCCCAGTCTCTGGCACTTGTCATTTTAATAACTCGACAAGATAGCATTATAAACCTCTTTATCCTGTCATTATATAAAGGAATTTTTTCTGCAAACTTGAAACTAGAAGCCACTTTGCATTAATTTCACCATTATTATTCTTCTCTAAGCAGCCCAAACAAACAGCTCAAGGTCCTTTTCCTGCCGCAATGACGACTGAAATTATGTTTGAAGTGAGATATTTCTCTGCCTCATGTTGAGAACTTTTTAGCTTCTAGCACTTTAGTCTGAAAAAACAAAGAACATGCAGCTTCTCAACATTTCATTGTTTCCTTTTAAAGTTACATGAATCATTCTGGGACACAGCTATCTCACACAAAACAGGTTTCTGTTGCAAGTAAATACAGTATGTCCTTCAAACATGCCTGCTCTTACTTTAAATAATATTTTATTGAAACCCACTGAAAAGAAGCAAAACCTCAATCTTTATAAACTTGTTTACAGGACAGTAAGCACAAAAAATCTAATATCGAAATGAGTCCCAAAGCCTCTCCAGAAATGAAATCACTGCCTGTTCTGTCTAAAATAGAGGCTGTTTCTGTTTGAATCTGAGCCAAATTCAATTCAATTTCACTGAAAAGATAAAAACACGATGTCAAATGTGTCCTCCCTCTCTCTCTTTGACTTCATTACACCTGGTTTCTCTCTCTTCCTCCTCTTTTTTCTTGTCATTCTTTCATTCAAACTCTTCCTCCTCTTCAACCCATCGAATGAGTTTCAGTCACTTCTTCCTCTGCAAATGGCTCGTTATCAGCAGCCAGACAACCTGCAAATTGTACCATTGTGTGTGTGTGTGTGTGTGTGTGTGTGTGTGTGTGTGTGTGTGTGTGTGTGTGTGTGTGTGTGGGTGCTGCAGTCCTACTGAGGCGTTTGAAGGACAGTTTTCGGATGGATTTTCCACCAGCAAAGTGCTGAGTGGGCCTATTAGCGGGACAATTTTCTCCTTATTCCAGACTTGTCTTTCATCCCTCCTCCTCCTCCTCCTCCTCCTCCTCCTCCTCCAGCTGCAGCAGATCTACTTTAAACTCTTACCTGAGTGGAGAGATGCAGTAGTACCCCTGAGCAAGGCATTAACCCCCCGCTGACCCAACAGAGATGCTGCAGGTTGTATTATATGCAGAGAAAACTAGAAGTTGCAGCACCAACTCAGCAGATGGAGTTTGAACAGATAAGTGCAGAGAGAAGGAAGAACACATAAACGGAACATTTTCTTCTTCCACCCTCATCCCTACATAGAAACATGTATAAATCAGTCAACAGACAAGGAAGAATTTCTGAAGAGTTTTATTAATTTTGCAAAGTAGTGGTATTGGTAGTTTTTAGTTAGAACTTATTGATAACTCTGTACTTGTATTATTAGATCTTAGTGCTGCATTTGACACCATTGACCATGATATTCTTTTACAGAGACTTGAGCATCAAATTGGCATTAAAGGAACTGCCCTAACCTGGTTTAAGTCATACTTATCAGATCGTTCTCAGTTTGTACATGTTAACGATGAATCCTCCATAAATACTAAAGTTAGTCATGGAGTTCCACAAGGTTCTGTACTTGGACCAATACTATTTACTTTATATATGCTCCCTTTAGGCAACATTATTAGGAATCACTCCATTAACTTTCACTGTTATGCAGATGATACGCAGTTATATCTATCAATCAAACCCAATGAAATTAATCAATTATCTAAATTACAAACATGTCTTAAGGACATAAAATCCTGGATGACCTGCAATTTTCTGATGTTAAACTCAGAAAAAAACGAAATTCTTGTTCTTGGCCCCAAAAACCTTAGAGACTCATTGTCTAAAGATATAGTCACTCTAGATAGCATTAACTTGGCCTCTAGCACCACTGTCAGGAATCTTGGAGTTATCTTTGATCAGGATTTGTCATTTAACTCCCACATAAAGCAGACCTCTAGGACTGCCTTCTTTCATTTACGTAATATTAGAAAAATTAGACACATCCTATCACAGACAGATGCAGAAAAACTAATCCATGCATTTGTTACTTCAAGGCTGGATTACTGCAACTCTTTATTATCAGGTTGCCCCAATAAGTCCATTAAAACGCTCCAATTAATTCAGAACGCTGCAGCACAAGTACTGACAGGAACTAGAAAAAGAGATCACATCTCTCCTGTACTAGCTACTCTGCATTGGCTCCCTGTAAAATGTAGAATTGAATTTAAAATACTCCTCCTCACCTATAAAGCTCTTCATGGTCAGGCCCCTTCATATCTTAAAGAGCTCATAGTACCCTATTACCCCACTAGAACACTACGTTCTCTGAATGCTGGGCTACTTGTGGTTCCTATAGTCTCTAAAAGTAGAACAGGAGCCAGAGCCTTCAGTTACCAAGCTCCTCTCCTGTGGAACCAGCTTCCAGTTGTGGTTCGGGAGGCAGACACCCTCACCACATTCAAGAGTAGGCTTAAGACATTCCTCTTTGATAAAGCTTATAGTTAGGGCTGGATCAGGTGAGTCCTGAACCATCCCTTAGTTATGCTGCTATAGGCCTAGACTATCGGGGGATTTCCCATGGTGCACTGAGCTACTCTCTTCCTCTCTCTTTCTGCACTCATTCATGTCCCTTTAATGCATGTTACTAACTCCACTTCTTCCCCGGAGTTCTTGTGCTTTCTCGTCTTGCAGGTTCTCATGGATCCTGGTGGAGCCTCCTGCCATGGTCCTGCTTGACTGCCATTGCCAATACTGTTGTTGCTGTGCACCTGTCTGTCTGTCTGTCGCTCTCTCTCTCTCTCTCTCTCTCTCTCTCTCTCTCACCCCAACTGGTCGAGACAGACGACCACCCACCTAGAGCCGGAGGATCTGTCCTAGGTTTCTGCCTTTTAACAGGCAGTTTTTCCTTGCCCTTGTCGCCAAGTGCTTGCTCATGGTGGTACTGTTGGGTCTCTGTAATTAATGTTAAAGAGTTCGGTCTAGACCTGCTCTATTTGAAAAGTGTCCTGAGATAACTTCTGTTATGAATTGGCGCTATACAAATAAAATTGAATTGAATTGAATTGAATAACAAAGCAATGTATAAGCCTAACCCCTCTCCTTTCTTTTTTCTCATATGTCCTTGGATCAGTTCCTGTTTTTGATGCCTGTATTTGTGACGGCAGTTGGGCTCTTTTATTATAGTTTTATATTATGTTTTTGTTTTGTAACATTAAACATTCATGCAGTGTTTTTTCCTCCCCTGAAGCAACAGCATTCAGCAGAGGCCGTCTGACAAAGCTCCACCCTTCACCTGACTCACCTGAAACAAACTAGTAAAAGGTTTGTTAGTCTTCATCACTACAGACGACAAAAAAGAAGACATATGATCAGAGTCACCTTCTGACTCTGATTCTGTTTGTGTTTTCAGCTTCACTCAGAGACAAAATGGCAGACCACATTAAGGTCCAGGCCCAACGCACAGAGACGCAGATTAAGGAGCAGTTTAAGAAGCTTCACCAGTTTCTAGAAGAGGAAGAGGAGGCCAGGCTGGCTGCACTGAAGGAGGAAGAGGAGCAGAAGAGTCAGGCTGCGATGGAAAGAGTCCAGCAGCCACAGCTGCCCTCAGGAGCTCTGATAGACGAGGCCAAACACTTGGGCAACCTGACCTTCAACATCTGGAACAAGATGAAGGACATGGTCTCCTACACTCCTGTGATTCTGGACCCAAACACTGCTCATCCAGAACTCATCCTGTCTGAAGATCTGACCTGTGTGGGCAAAGTAAAGGAAGAGCTTCCTGATAATCCAGAGCGGTTTGATAAATGCTGGTCTGTTCTGGGCTCTGAGGGCTTTAACTCAGGGACTCACAGCTGGGATGTCAAGGTTGGAGACAGTACAGGCTGGAGACTGGGTGTGTTAGCAGAGTCTGTCCAGAGGAAGGGAGTCATACAGTCTGGATTATGGAGAATAAAGTTATTTGGAGGTGATAAACCACTGATCTCGTAGTTCAGAAGAAGGTCCAGAGGATCAGAGTGAATCTGGACTGGAACAGAGGAAAGCTGTCGTTCTCTGATCCTGATACTAACACACACATACACACCTTCACACACACTTTCACTGAGAGGATGTTTCCATATATTTGGACTGTGGATAAGGTCCCAGTGAAGATATTACCAGTGAAGGTCAGTGCAGCAGTGAAACAGAGCAGTTAGAGATAAAGAGAATGATTATGAATTGAAACTGTTAAACTGAACCTGCTGCTTGTTATTGATTCTGTTATTCAGTTTGACTTTGGCTTTTTGTTTCTATTGTCGACCTTTTTTACATGTAAACTTATTTCATTTAGTTTCTGATCTTTATGTTTGGTTCATTGAGGGCAGTCAGCTTCCACAAAGTGGTTGCTGCTCTTAATGACTTAACACCATTCGCTTCCAGCTTGCAGGAATGATTCCTATAACCCAGAAATGAGTTCCAGTTCCCTCTTCTCAAAGTCAGTGGATTTTGGTTTGATTCTTGAAACAAGGTCTCTGGCGGTTAACTAGGATTGTAATAGTATATCATAAGACAGTTAAAACCCAATACAAATATGTGAAGACTCAAATCAGTGAGATGAAAAGAGAATCGCTATATACTCAATCTTTATTCAGTCATTATTTGTCTCATTTTGGGCTCCTGGGCACAAGACTTGTCAGATGACTAGTGGAGTGACTACATGTGGTGGATTCCTCATCCATGTGGTTATCAGACACTACTGCAGTGCAAGATGCTTCACAAAGCACATTCACCAGCGCTAAATATTTAATATCAGGATATTTTCTGATAGAAGCGACACCTGTAACAAATCTCCAGCTTACCATTTATATATGTGGTGGATATTCCCACAGCTGACAGACTTTTGGTCCAGAATATCTTGGTTGTTCTACTACAAACGATTTATATCTTCTATATGTTTAATCAAACTGCCAAAAAAACAATAAAAACATTTCTTTAAAAAAATTTACTGTGCCAACTTTGATAATGGTAAACATTTACATCTCAAGTGGACATGTTTGATGACTGTTAATGTCTCCTTCTATATTTGAATAAAGGCATTTATGCAACATTGTGACATGTTGCATATTTCCTGTATGGGGTCTTAATATATGCTGTGGGAATTTGCCCTTTGTGGTCTGGTCTTAGTAAGTACATGTTTCCTTGTGGTTCAGATCTTAGGTCATGTTCTCTGTGTTGAAATGACGAAGCATTTTAGCAACATCTACAGATGACCTAAAGAGAAGGATGACAGAAAACACAATAAAATGTTTGTGAGAGACACAGTAGGAGAAATAGAAAGAAGGAAATATGTATGCCCTTAAGACAGTGGAAAATGTAGACATGAGGGTGTCTTACAATACTAATATGGATCAGTAATGAGAATTAACCTTTATATATTTATCTCTAGACTGGAGCAGGAGCCTCAGTGTTAATTTAAGCTTCTCTGGTTGAATAATGTCACTTTTGTGTTTTGCTTTTGTCTTAAAAAAATAGCTCTTTGGTGTACAGCTTTAAAAAAAAAAATCACATTTGTCTGTGGCCTGGTTTTATTTGAGCAGTACTCGTACCGCGCAGCATGTGCACGTGTCTGTGTGCGTAGGATACTGTGAGATCATGGGAACTGGTGTTGATCATGTGAGCTCGTCACATGATCAAAGGACCTTTTTCCGATTTTCTTTATTCATTTTTTGTTTTATTTATTTATTTGAAGTTTAACCCCTCATTTATTTCATATATACTTCTGTTATTTGTTATTAGATGTACATATTACTTTATTTGTAATGGTTTAAGTTGTTGTGTCACCTTTCTTAAGGAAACAACAAAAAGTATGATTGAAAAAAGAAGTACTCTCACCTTGGGGTTACTCATGCACCAGAAGTATGTGGAAAGATTGTTGTTATTTAGAAAGAAAAATAAAGTATGATTGGACTTTAAAAATACATCTACATATTTGCATTTGAAAATAAAAAGACAAAACTGATGTTGATCTTTTGTTTTTTTTTATAGAACAGAAAGATTGCAGTACATAAACCCCTCACTACAAAGATAAATGCACTTTTGAGAGTTCAGTTCATAAAAAAGTCATATGGTCAGATGAGTCATCCTTCCCCATATTCCTGAGAAGTTGGCGAGTGCATGTGTGGCGTACACCAAGAGAACAGTACAGGCCTGCTCGACCCCTACAGGATGGTGGTGTTGATCCCTCCAGTTTATGTCTTTAAGTCATCCATCTATAAATTTAAACTGACTTTGGTTTTTACATGGCCTGACAAACAACCCGTTCACACATTGGCAATAAAAAGTGATTAACTACATTTTGCAGTAGCTTGCTTGTAGTTCAGCTACATTTATATTTCATATTTGATCCATCTTCTGAAATTTCAAACCGGTAATGATGATACACTTGTGATTGCTGCTTTGAAGCTCGATTCTGTAAACAGTTTTCTAATTCAATTTAACAGCTTTTGATCAATCTATATTGCTTAAATAAGAAATTTCTGGTTGGTCACTGGTTTAAATCCCACCTATTCCGAGTATACTGATAATTTAGTTGGTTGCAGTTACAAATAATAGTGTACTCACTCATACCTACAATTGTGGGCCATAAAATTAAAGGAATGAGTTTTTATTTGAACATTGCCTCTCTGCCAGCACAACGGCTGTTTCTCAGTCCTCACACAGCGACAGCATCATCATGGTAAAACCTGAATCTCAGCCTGAGGAAGAATTACCATGGCACACAAGACGCTGACAAAACCTACGTTTTTACTTGTGCACCATACAGGTACTTTCCCTTTAATGGTGGAGTGTCTTTCTTTAGTCTGTTTATGTATAACCTGTGAAAAAGTGAGTGGCACTGTTAGCTGGCGTTTGGCTTTTTGTATTAGATACTGTTATAATTTAGTATCATATGTAAACTGCATTTTTGTGCAATTTGATAACTTCTTTACAAAGTTTTTTTTTCTAAGTACCTTCAGTTAACCAAACTCGATCTCTCTCTAGCTTTGCTAGGAGTTCAATTTCTTCCAGTGTGAAGATACTGGCAGCATATGGTAGCTTAGCTTATTGCCTGCAGTTATAACCAATCATTTCAAAAGGCAAAAGCAAAGATCAACATCACTTCCTGTGCTTTCATATTCCTGCTTAACACACATATATAGATGTATCCCCAAAGGTTTTATTATGCTTACACATTTTGTTCAGCAAGATAATCTTCACAAATGAACACCACTTTTATGATTTTTGAAGGTAAAGGGACCGGTACTTGTATAGTTTCCTTTCTAGTCTTCTGACCACTCTAAGCACTTTTACACTACGTGTCACATTCACCCTTCCACACACATTCACTCAGTGATGGCAAAGTCCATCGAACAGAAACTAACATTCATACACATTCACACACCGATGCATGGCATCGGGAGCAATTCAACTCAAGGATACTTCAACATGTGGCACCAGGGGCTGGGGATCGAACCCACAACCTTCCAATTTCTGAACGACCCGCTCTGCCTCTGAGCCACAGCCGCCCCTGGCCAGAAGTAAAAAGCTAACTTTAGGCTATAAACAAACTCAACACGGTTGCATGACTTCTATTCAACTTCAAACTTATAATTAAATCTTTAATTAAAATCTACAAGTTGCAAAGTTTGAGTTAGAATACTTTGCAAGAGTATACACACAACAGGGCTATACAGGTGGACTAGACAAATAATGACAAAAAAAACTAAGCAAAATTAAATTTTTCTTCATCAAATCTGTCATATAAAAAATTATATTTCCTTTTATTTGTAAAAGGGAAACTGATACATTGATACAGAAACTGGAGTGAGGAAGCTAAACAAGCAAAGTCAAAAGTACACAGTCAAAATAATAAAAAATGAACAATTTAAAGCGACACAATGTCAAAGAAAAAAGGAAATCAAAAAAGTCACATTCGAGGAAACCACCCCTGCATGAATGTGTTACAACACTACCCAATAGTAATAGTTCCTCAATAGCAACTTCTTCTATGAATTCATATGTGCAGCTGCAGTGACTTTCTCTGTGGTGAAATATTATCATGAATCAAAGGGCTGGGTTGGGCTAGTGATTTGTAATTTAAATCTTATACAGCATATGCATAATAATTAACAGAGAGGGCTCATTATATTTCAGACTTATCCAAAGTCTTTTTGATCCACTTGAGTTGTTTTTGTGAGAGAAAAGAGTACACTCCTGGCTTTTTAATCAGGCCACACTTCTGTCCAAAAGAAGTAACTCCGATTAGCTCTCCATTGCACAACAGTGGCCCTCCTGAATCCCCCTAGAGAGACAATAAATATGTGACACGTTATTTGTAGGCACAGGTAGTCAAGTAGTCCTTTTAGATTACATCATCCTTCATATACAAATCAATATCTTTTTATTCTTATATCAAAATCCAATTCTCCTGAAAAACAAAATGTGACGCATGCTTACATAAGCGTTATAAACTTTATTGCTAGTAGAAAACCACAACTATCACTCATATAGAAACACAACTTTATCAATTGTACAAAAACACTAACACACTAATTTTCTCACTGGAACAAAATCACAACTTTATCACCCTACATTAAACAACCTTAGGACAGAGGACAGTCTGACGACAGCGGTACCGAGGTGAACTTTCCTGATGGACTTAACCAACTCAGTCCGAGGAGCCAAAACTGACAAAACTGTCTCTGCTTCCTGTTTGTGTGGTGATACTTAAGGTGGTACTGTATGTGTACTTACCTCACAGGTATCAGCCACGTTTTTACCATCTGAACCAGCACATATCATGCCACTGGTGATAACAGGGTTAAGGCTGTAATATTCGCCAGTGTTGCACAGCACTCTGTCAATCACAGTCACATTGACAGACCTCAGCACATCAGACATTTTCCGGCCCATGTTGTTTGTTTTCCCCCATCCAGCCACCAGACAGCTGGTGCCAGCTGCTGGGTCTCTGACGGTTTTACCCAAATTGAGACATTTCACCGTCTTGGTCTGTGACACTGGTTTGTCAAGCTGTAATAAAGGAAAATCACTTATTGATGCTGACAGCCTGCCTTTATAGGGTTTGTTAATTCCCAGTGTGTTCAGTTAGTTGCAATCTGAATTTTCACCACTAGATGCCACTTAATCCTACACATTGGTCCTTTGACATGTTAAAGAATATTTAATATTCCATATTGAAGTTATTGGTTTAAGAAAGCACTCTTCTGAAACATTTGCACAATAAAACTCCCATATCAGTCTCCACTACTGGTTACTGCAATGTTACCTTACCTTAATCAGCATGAGGTCATTTGCATAGTTTTCTGCGTCATAGCAGGGATGGCGAACATGGCTCACAACCTCACGGACCTGCCTGGACTCAGTTTCACTTTCTTTGATGGAGTGCACACCCAGCAACACCTCCTTAATGCTGCGACAGCAGGAAACAGAGTTTTATTAAAGGTTAAACTGCTAGGAATGATACAATGATGAGCATTATCACTAGGTCTGTGTATTGGCAAGAATCTCACGATACAGGGCTTACAATTCACTATATTGAGTTTTCTTTACATTTAATTTTAGTAAAAATATAAGAATAAAAAAACAGTTAGGGGTTTAAACAAACAAAAACATAAAGATCTCAAAATACGAGCCGTCGTGTACGGTATTAAAAGGTCTGAGATGTAGCAGGGGGAGGGACCACATAGATCAGTAAAAGTATTCAGTAAAATCTTTAAATCAGTTGTAAAACATGTTGTCATTGTAAAGAGTGAGAGTGATGTGATCATGATGTTACATCAATGGTAAATTGAACTTTTTAGAATTTCTTACTCAGCACAGTGGGCAGCAGTCAGGACCCATGTTGGACTGATCAGTATCCCTCCACAGAGCGGTCTCTGCAGCAGAGCCATGAAAGGCAGTGAGTGAGGCTGCACCTCTTTCCCACCAATAATCTCAGAGCCATCACCTACAACAAAGTACAGTCAATCAATTTAACCAAAAAGGGAGATAAAATAGTCAATAACTCAAAGAACAGGCTGCACCGGCTGCACAGGAGTGAAATATATTGAACATGTTACTCACTTGACTGAACGATGAGGACGATAACAGAGATGAACACAATGAAATCCCTCAGGCACAACATTTCTGTTTCTTTGATGTGAAGTCGAATGCACTGAACCTTGATGCACTCTCTGTCTCTCGTCTTTATGTTAAGGTCAAAGGAAGTGGTCTGACCACAGAAATGCATGAGGCAGCAAGATAGACACAACCATTGCATGAGAAACTGTGTGTGTTACCTTCACATAGAAACCTGTGGTAAATAGGTTGTGTCATTTTCCAGTCATCACAGGCTGATACTCACCAGCTGTTTGTGTACGTGAAGCAGCTCGCGTCAAAGAAAACAGACCTGTGAATATTATATTACATTCCTGCCAATAGATCCTCCTCAGTGGTACACACCGGACATTTAACACTTTCATTTAGTTTTCTTCACAGAAATGAACTGAAGCGCTGATAAAGTCCTTCTGTATAGATTTTATACATACACTAAGTTTTCTTACACTTTTAAAATCAAGAAGCTTTGGCGACCCCTAGTGGTTGGGAACAACTAGTTTACTGATACATAACCCTCAAATTCCACCAGACAGGCCGCAACGCATTCAGCCTCAGAAGCGTCTCTCTGATTCTGATGTATTCGGCCCGGTTCAGCTGTGCTGTTCACTGGGAGCTCCCAGTCTGGCAGAGTCATCTAATGGGGCTACTGTAGTTGCATGGCGAGGGGGCCGTAACGCACATCCAGCGCTATTGGCTACTTTAAACGGCTATCAATAAAATATAAATTTGTACCTTTATTAAACCAGATATGTCAATTTAAAAACAATTCAATCAATCAGAATAGATTTGAAGCGGAGAAACGATATCAGAAAAGAAAATATCGTGATACAATATTTCTGTATTTTCTGTCCTAGCAGGCAACAGCAAATAGCGCTCTGCTTTTTATTTCATGGGGAGTTGACTTTTACTTTCAAAAGGGACACAAACCACAGCCTCCTGGGTGAGAGTCCTGTTTGACTCATCCATCCAGGCTGTTGATCAGTGTGAATAAAGACTATGTTCCGATCTTCAGAGAATCTTCATAGAAATGAATGACATACTGAGATATAGGCCTACTGTGTATAGTTTTTAAATCTTACACCCCTTAAGGCCACGACACACCAACCGGACGGCCGACCGTCAGCAGAAAAGCAGTCAGACTGATCAGTCGGCTCCCATCTCCCCGAGTCGGTCAAAAAAGTGCCTCCGAAACACACCAAAACGACGCCAACTGGAGCGTACGTTCTGCGCGTGCACGAGGCGTAATACGTCCCCATAACAGCAGGCGGCGCTAATCTGTGTTGTGTTGTGTTGAAATGACGGATCACTCTAGACCTAGTAAACACAGAGCACGCTGTCGTCAGTCATTGTTTTCATCAGAGAGTGTTGATGGTAGTCAAGAAGGATCGTTGTTGTCATTACTCCCTGAACGGATAATACGATGGCTAATAATAACAAGATACTGGCATTGGCGTAGTATGTTTATCATCGTCACTTCCGGTTCTCTCGTGCACTCGTCACTGATTCGCTAGTCAAGGGCTAGCACTCCACCAATCAGATTGGTCATTGAGGCCGACGGCCACTGGCCAATTCCACATGTCGAATCAGCCAAAATGAACGCCGACGCCGACACCGACTGACGACAGCACGGGACACACCGGACCGATTTGAGCCACCGACCTCGCCCGACTGTCCGACGACGGCCGATAATCGGGTTGGTGTGTCCGGGCCTTAAAAATCAAGAAGGCCTTGTGACCCCCAAAGTAGTCTTGGCGACCCCTAGAAAGGGTCCTGACCCTCAGGTTGGGAACCTCTGCACTGAAGGGTACCTTGTGTGTCTGTATGAGACACAGAGGGGAGCCGCGAGATAGTTTCAGTGATATTATTGAGTCTACTCACCGATACCATGAACTTCCATTAAGGTGGACAACCAGTGTTTTTATATTTTTACAAGACGAAAGAGAGTTTTTTCCCTGGAGGATGATAACGATCTCTGCCACAGTGATGAAACATTCAGCTTCAGAGAGCACGAACACCTCCTCTTCTTCACACACACACACACACACACACACACACACTCACTCACTCACACACACACACGCTCATACAGACATAATGACCCATATCATAAATATAATAATCCAATCATGTCCATGCGCCTGCATAGTCTTTACGTCTGTATTCTGTGCGGTGAACCTAGACCTTCACCGCTGATGAAAACACCATCATCATCGTGGAAACACCTCTGTCAGCACACACACACACACACACACACACACACACACACACACACACACACACACAAAGAACACAACAACAAATATCCTACTGAGAGATTTCTTTATAAAAAATGAGATTTGAGTTGACTTTGCATTGAACATGCAAACTGAAGAGCAGATGGTTCCTTTCACTTCACCACACACACATTTTCTTTTTCTTCTCAGGAACAAACCAGACTCAACAACGGGCAAATAAATAAAAACATAATTTTATAAGTAATAAAAACCAACCAGGGAATTATTGTTTCTCAGCTCGTATTGGGCTGGAAGTTTCACCCTGGAGAGGATTTAACTGTATTTGTGAGGACCAAGGAGAGTTAATGCTATAAAGGTTATAATTAGGTAAAAGCACCAGAACCAACATTTATGTGTCGGGGATTTGGAAGTAAATTCATTTTGGATCCATTTGTTAAATTTTATGGTGTTAGGCTCTTATATATCCACTATAAAAACTATATAATGATTATATTATTATTATTAGTGATTTTATGCTCTCTCGTGATGGTAGAGTTAAACTGAATACATTTTCGATATTTAGGTTAATCGCAGTCAACACTCAGCAACTGACAGAAACATGGAATCTGTGTGAATGTTGAAGTTATTTATTTACACTCGTGTTAAATACCTACCTCCATACTCCGTCTTAGCAGTGTACAACCTCTAGAGAAAGGTCATTATCTTTCTGCTACGGGGCAAAAAACATTTGTTGTCTGATTGTTTTTATTTCTTTAAAGGAACGAGTCGCCTCCTAAAAAGACACAAGCTCCTGAAAACATGACGGGGGAGGTCTAAAATATTGACAATATGCTTTGTTTGCATTTCTATTTTTCTATATCTTCATTGTCATGGATTATACATAAACTTTGTGCATGTGGGTTTTATCACTAATTCACTTCAGTTCATCAGTTTGGTTTTAATTAGTTACCTGAACATATAAAAAGTCTTAAAGCTGAGAAACAGAAACAGCAGTAAAAATGTGAAAAAGGATAAAAAACAGAAATAATTAGGGTTAGGGGTATGCTGTGGTTGAGGTGAGGGATTAGGATTGTGCTGAATTAGAGGTTCTGGCACCTTTTTGGACCAATTCAGGCATTCAGAAGAAGACTCCCACGTATGTACACAAACTGAGCTTTGCTGCGTCGGTATTTAATAATAATTAAATGTATAAACTGAACTGTGTGGGCCACCGTGAGATCGGTGAGATCATCAACTGGAAAATCAATGCGATACACTGCGTTTGTCTTCCACTTTAATGAGTAACGAGTCTATTTAAATATCAGTAATTGTGTTATTTCATTTGAAAATGTAACTAGTTACATTACTAGTTACATACTACTTAAATAGTGGAATTACAGTAAGACGTATTTGTAAGAAAAAACTGGTCCAAAGTTAATTTCTTGTCCCTCATTAGTGATACAGCTCGGTAATTGTGGATCGTTTACTTCCACCTAAACCTTAGACCAGTTTATAGTCCACTACCTGTTTCTAGTCTGGGTTCCAGTGAGGATTGTTAACAAAGGTCCTCACAAGAACAGTACAAAGAGTGTGTGTGGTTCTCGTTGAGGAACTGACCTCACTGACCTCGTCAATGACGAGCTGTCAATGTGACTGACTGCTTCTTAGAAACCATTAGCACATTAGCACATTAGCGTCCCTGCAGGTCTCAGTGTCACTCCAAAGAGACTGTAAATTCATAAAAAGCAAATAAAAAAGCATAAAGGAACACTGCAACATTATTCCTCTGAATGGTACTCTTTAAAAAAAGGTTCCTATAAACTGCCATCACTCAGAAATGATGCATTTTATTTCTGCACAGCCTGGCAGAAATCTGTGAAATGAGCATTTACAGCACTGTGACATGAAAAATAGATTCATCCATACAGAACGAACAGATCAATGCTGCTGATTCTGTGAATTCTGTGAGTGTGCAGAGACAACGTACCTGTAATATATTTATGGTTTTAGAGATTAGCTTTATTTTGGTCAACAAATACATGAAAACGTCTTGTAGAAACTTGATTTTTCATGCACAACACACATTTCATCTCTTTTTAAAGCCAGCTGCTCATTTCACAAAGTTTCCTGACACCAGGCCGTTTATTTGCCTTCAACATGTCGCTGTGTCCATCTTCAGAACTGATAACTGCTTTCCAAAGTGTCACTGCAAATCATTTCAGTTTGTATACGGTACATTCACTGGAGCTCCAATTAGTTTTACAGACAGAAAACAACTTATAGACATCAACACAGGTAATTCTGAACTTCTTCCGCACACAGTCTCACCGTAATTTCTAGGAAGAGTCCTGGAAAGAACTGCGTAATTCCGCTTTATATCTATTTAAACCCATCTGATTATTGGAGACTTTATTCTCTACATTTGTTGAACCGTATGCTTGCCTTTAGACAAATTCTACATTTCTGACCCGCTGATTAAAAGAGCTTATGGCAGCAGTTCATTGGAATTAATTAACTGGAAGAGTATTAACTGAAAACTCCATGCTCCCTGTAATTGGTACTAAATTAAACGCTTCTTCTTCTCCAGGAAACATTATAGGAAATTATCAGGAAGTTGTGGATGTGAAATAAGGCTAAATGCTTATTTTCTCTGTTTTATGGAAACAACACGGTCTCACTTCCAATCAGAATCTGAAGCTGTAGGTTTCCCTCTGGACTCTATTAATAATAAATATATAATTAAAATGAATAGATCGATAGATACTTTATTTATCCTGAGGGAAATTCAAGATGTAATGAAAAATGTATAGGAATCAGCAGCCTGTACTACAGGAGGAGACATTTTTGGCTGCAAAACACACTTGAGCCTTATAATGCTAATTTATTGCCACAGATTCAGCAGAATTTTCTTTTTTTAGATTTGGAATCCATAGCTGGCCTACCAAGGGAGACTCAAGACTGTAGTAGCTATGCATTTATACAACTGGAGAATGTAAGAATCAACAATGATGAAAAAATACTTATTTATTTAGGCTACGTATCATTTTTTTTATGGTGCTTTACAATGTGGTTTGGCTCTGTGATCTGCAAATCCCACCGAGAGCGTTTCAGAGCGTCTTCCTGCCCGACATTGTTGACTTGTAAATTTTGTCCTTGAAAAGGAAACAAACGGTGTGTTTCTCTGCTTCAAATCTCCTCTGACTGACTTGATGTAGCATGAAATTTGATCCGGAGTCTGCACGCAGTATTTTTTTGTGAAAATTGCCAAGATTCTTTCTACGTGTTTCTAATGAGATCTGATCTGTGCTGCTTGACACGAGTGGGTGGCAGCTTCCATCAAAAACAGAGCAGCCGTATTCTACAAGGAGCAGAGCAGTAAGATGCTTCTGGTGGTCTCTCGAGCATTGTATAGATCTTTTCTGCCGACCGCAGTGGAGCCAGAATGCGTTGGTTGTGCCCGGTGGAATTTGGGACTAAAGATCCACAAGTGGCTCCAGAGCTGCAGCTTGCAGACCCCTGAGTTAGACTTTCAAAATAAAGCTTGCATGCACATTGCCAAATGGTCGCAGTTTGTTTAAGTTTAGTTTTTCTACTTGGTTCATTTTAGGAAAAAATCCTAACTTCAGTAAGTTAACTTACACAAGTTACATCTTGAATCACATTTACAAAAAGTCCAAAAGGCAGGAATTAAAGTAACTCAGTTTTACAGGTTTGGTAAATATTTGTGTTTTCCCTTCCTACAATGTCCAAAACCTTGACAATAACACATCACATATCAGTTCATCTTGGTGGTGCCCACTGACTCATTAACACCTGACACACCAAACAAATCACATCATGCTTTAACAACTATATTTATCTTTTTAGTAAATCTTCAGAATAACGTCTGAACCGGGCTGCTCAAACAGCACACACCCTGTCTGCTGCAGCTCGAGGGGACATCAGATCTTTTACACCGATAAATGAAGTTTGGGGACTGTGAGAAGAAAAATCAATATTAATCAATATCACCGGTTGACAGCTTTTTCTCTCCAAACTCTTCAAGCAGCCTGTAGCTTTTTTCTTTATTTGAGGGAGAGGAGATTAATGTTTCCGGCATAGAGTTAAACACAGAAATCTGGAGGTTGAAGACACAAGATCGAGCTTGGAGCTGAAATGTTCAATATACGGTCCAAACCACAGAACTTTTACTCTGACTGGATGTTAGAGGATGGCAAGCAATCAGGGCTCAGACGTCACAGACCATCAAACAGGGTATTTATCAAAAATTGTCAGTGCTCAGCAAGTTTCTGTTGCTATTTCTCGATTTAAAATCATTTTAAAACCTTCATTTAACTCCTTTTGTCACTGATCATTGCAGCCTGAAGAGCCACACTCAGAAGGATATGACGTGCATTAGGTTTGGGTACACAGAATAAAAATTAAATAGATTTTTTAAAATTATCTTTTGAAAAATTTTAGTCTTTTGACCTATTGTCACTTATTATCCTGATTTGTATGGATGAATTTTGCAGTGCCACTGTGTGACCATAGCTTTATTAGCGCCACAACTGCAGTGTCAGGAAGGAAACAGGAACAAACAAATAATATATCACTGATGTATGAGCACAATTGAAACACAACATGATGCCACATTATTATTTTTGACTCAATTTCCCCTTGATACGTTATTTCTGTCTATAAACAGTAAACAAGTGACTGGACCTGCAGGGTTCGAGAGAGGCAAACAAACAATCATACTCAGACTCAAACAAACAAACCCAGTGTGACAGAGCCATAGTTAACGTTTTGTGGTCGGTGCATGCTTTTACAAGTGATCTGATGCACATGTAAAGGTTCCCTCCAGTCAATCAGAAACAAAAATTCACCCAGGTTTCATACAACAAAACAGAAACATGTCTGCACAAGATGCACTCTTTTTTCACAAGACCTGCTTTTGTTTGGCTAGCTGGCTAATCGGTGGGGACGCAAACCAAATCATGCTACACCATGGCTAGCCTGGCCTCCGCTGCACGCCACCGAGCTTTACGAGCTGAGAGGCAGAATTTATCACCGACAGGCAGCTTCTCCCAAAACTCTCCACTTTTCTCCACCAGGAACTTCTTCTTTATCCTCATAAACACAGAGAAAGACTTTGTGTCTCTTGCTTTTAGTAAAGCTTTGTATTTAAAGCCTTGTGTGATAAAATTGAACTTTTAGCACAAAGCTTTCACTGAGGTATCGCAGCAACAGGAGCAAACATGTTTCCAACAAGCATCTGTTCACTGCTAACCAAAGAGGTTCCCGGTGGACGCAGAGCTGTAGTCTGTCGTTTTTTTAATTCTGCCCGTCTCTGGTTTCTTTAAACTTTTTTATCCTCTAATTCGTTCCCAGTTTGATTTTTATAGTCTGTCCAGGTCTCTGTCCCACCCTTACGGACTCTGCTGCTCCATGTTATCAATCAAAGGCTCTTTCTTCATGAACTGCAGATGTCTGATGGACCTCCACACCCCGACATAGCTGTCACTAACAGACTGACTGGAGGTGGTGTTCTCCTTCTGGAGGTGCTCTCTCTGCATCTCCAGCACCTCTTTTTCCGTCATGACACAAGAATTCACACCCGCCTCTCCTGTCCACACCTCTCCGTTTGCCAAACTGGCCGGTGCCTCCGCCTCCTGCCCGTCTCTGCTCAACACTCCCTCTATTTCCGGATTTCCCGGATCAGATCCAGTGCCATCCACAGGTCCGTCGCCATTCAGTGGTGGTTTCTCTTGATACGGCTCGCCAGGTAGCTCACCATCCTTCCCAGCCTCCTCCAGGTCCTCGTACAAGCTCTTCTTCTTCGTCTCGAAGTATTTGACCACGCAGTAGATGATGGAGCCAACGGTGTTGACCACCACGCCGCCGATGAACAGCCCGGTTGGTGCAACATCACTGAACGCCAGCATGCCGACGGTGATGGTGGCAATGCTCTTGACCACACCAACAAAGCTGGTGGTGACGGCGGAGTTGATGTAGGTGCAGTGGAGCGTGGTGAAGTTCATAGCACAGCCGATGAAGACGCAGAAGACGAAGATGACAGTGATGTGGGGGTCCTTCCAGCCCTCGTACGACCACATGTTGATGGTGTCCAAGGAGATGATCGAGCACACCAGGAGGACCTGGGAGAGCAGCAAAGAGGAAAGAAGAGACAAAGAGAGAAAAAGAAGCTCAATATAAAAACAAGAGAAAGGAAAGTGAAAGACGAGAGTGCAGATTGGGAAAAAAAACGACGACTCGAGACAAAACAAATTACGACAAAAGATTAAAGAATAAAGTGAAAAACTAATAAAAGAGGCAGACACAAAAACAGCACAGGCAGAAAAAGAAAGAGCAAAAAAAGCAGGTAGAAAGAGAAATGAATGTATGTATAGAAAAACAGGAAAAGGATGAGAGAAAAATAATGGAAGAATGTGAAATTGAGAGATATAATATGAAATAAAAAACAATGAGAAGTAGACAGTAAAAGAGGAGAGGAGATAGAGGAAGCAGAAAAGAGAAACGAAGATAAAACAATAATAAAAAGGGGCTGAAATAAAACAGGAAAAAGATATAAAGAAGAAGCAAGCTATAGAGACAGAAACATAGAAACTAAAAAGTGAATAAAGGAAAAAAGTGAGGACAGAAAGACAATGAGAGCGATAGAAAGGTAAAGAAAGCAACTAAAAGCAGAAAAAGAAGATTAGAGTCAGAAACAGAATAAGAAAGAGATAAAAAGTAAAGTCAAAGAAAGAGAAACAAACAAAAGGAAGTGGGAGAAAAGGACAAGTGAAACTGAAGAAAGATGGAGAGAAGAAATAAGAAAAGAGAAAGATGAGCTAAATGGAAATCTAAAAATGATAGAAGTGACAATTCTCAGTGGGAATCAACCCCGACCCTCTGCAGTGTCCCGTACCGGAGAGGCCATGACGGCGATGGCGTACTGTGCCGTGAGCGGCCCGTATTCACTGTCCAGACTGGTTTTCTGGATCACGACCAGGTAAGAGGCATGGATGATGACCGCCAACACGCCAGTGACGTAACCGAAAGGATCACCGGTGAGATCGCCAGCACCTGGGGAGGAAATCAACCAAGATTCAAACAAGAAAAATAAGGTTGACTGGTTTTCGTACATATCTGCTTCAGACCCTAACCCTGCTTGGATGTTATAGTAGTCAGTGAGCTATAAGCTAACTCCACAGTGTCTCCGTCTCACGCTGGATGTCATTCACATTCAATAACAACAACATGAAACACATACAAACATTGTGCGTCGACTAATAGGATCATGGTTTCATATGTGTGAAGGTTTTAATCTCTCATGGTGTTCCGACACCAATTTGGTCAAACAGTCTAGTTTCTCACTGTCTTAGCTTTCCTATTATAACTCATCTTCTAAAACACGGCTGTCTGTTTTCATTTAATTTAGGTGTCAGCTGTGCAGTGCATTTCACTGTTGCTGGTAGTTTTATAGCTGCTTTAATTTCCTTAATTCACGACTGACATTACATCATGGTTCTCTGATTGTGATGGAAAGGCATGCTCTGATCATTTTGCATTGGGGCCCGGTGTTGACTCGTTTTCTCCCTGTGTCAGTTCGCAGTACATCTCCACACAGTTTCAAACCGTCTGATGTCCCAGCAAACCTTACAGCTAACTGACTTATAGCATCCTGGTCCTCCTGTTTTGAGAGCTTCTGTCAACTGGCACTCCTCCTGCAGTTTCCTCAGAAAGGAAGCGCAAGCTTCCGGCTTTCACGTAGCTGATTAGGCCAGATAATATTTAACTGATTGAGATGTTAAAAATAACCTGCACAGTCACTTTCATTAAAAAAACAACACATTTTCTCTCCTCTGGACCGTCCCGGTGCAGGACCTTTGACATGCCGGCTGGACTTGAAGAGCGTTATCCTGCTTTTTCCTCATCTGAATACCCTGAATCAGGTGACTGAGGTCTTAGGACAGACACAAATTTATGATTTTTAATTTTTGGCTGCATGAATAAAATGTACGTAATTTAGTGAGAGTTAGGAAGAGACAACAGAGTGTTAATAAAAACTTTAAGGTGAACGGTTATAAACAAGGTTAAAAGAAACAAATGTTGACCGAGAACCATATAAGGTTTTGTAATCGTATAATGTCACACTTTTACATGACAAAATCATCTAAGGAGATAATGATGCATTTTAAAGCCACTATTTGAAGAAATATTTACTTATAATCCACTTTCCATGCAACATTATGACGTTTCCTCACTTGATTAATCCACGAAAGACGTCTGGAAGATGCAAATATTCGATTTTTCACAGGAGAAAATGTGATTATCACCGAGATTAAACCCTGAATGATGAATCTGTCCATTAGATTCATATTCTGCACATTTCACACTTCATGTTTGGACCCCCCTCCTGCCAGAGAGACACTGAGAGCGGTAGCGGTGGAGATTGATTCAGGAAATGAATTATCTGTAGGTTTTTTTGTTTATGACTTCAGGATCATTAAGTGTAATGGAAGAGGGGAAATTTACTGCAGGGAGAGACGATTAAAGGATCTTTACAGGACCAGAACTTCATGCAACGGTTAAACAGCTTCACATATGAGGAAAAAGTTGTTTATCTGCGATAGTTTTAAAAAAATATATAGAAAAGATTCTGTTTTCTTTTGCTTAGTTAAAAGAAGTTGAAGAGACAATGACATTAGAAGGAAGAGAGGGATCAAGAAATGGATGGAAAAAGTTAACATTGAATAATTTTTAAACTGCTTTATTCAGTGTGTTTAGTGGTTTTAATCAGCGGGTCTGTTTGTGTTGGAGAGGAGGAGACCTCTGTGGATCATTGGGCTCCCGGTAGAAACCTCCTGAACCATGAACACTGAAGGAATCCTAACCGGGAGAAGCTGACTGCAATGACGGCACCTCATCAAACTTCATATTTTGTTATTGTTTTGATGTAAGAGACCCCCTAGTGGAAAATACTGGTCCACGGCCTGATGTGTATGATTTTGGGCCGCTACTAGCATAACAAACCCAAATCTCTGGTTCTGCAGACAGACTGTAATGAGAGTTGTGTGTTTACCAGCCAGCGCGGCTCCAGCGGTGGTGATGATGACGGCGGTCACCACGCCGACGGACGGCACACCGTTCCTCAGCACACACACGCCGATGCTAAGTGTGAAGAGCGGCAGGCAGCGCTTGAACACGACGTACATGGGCAGGCTGAGGCCGCGCAGAGACCACAGAGTGAGAGTGGACTGCAGCGTGGAGAGGATGCACACTGATCCAAACTCCTGCACACAGACGGACAGAAACACACATTTAGTGACATTGACTTCCTGGAGGATTAAACTCAGTGGACTTTGTGGCTGACAGATTTTTGTTTAGAAATGAGAAAACGAAAATCAGAAAACAAACTTGTTTTTAAATTTTTTGTTTTGAAAATATAAAAAAAGAAAATTAAAAAAACGACCTATTATATGACTTTATTTAATGTACTTATAAATGGAAATCGGGAATTAAAATGAGATTTCCACACACGTTTTTTAATTCCCGGTTTATATTTATAAGTACATCAAATCAAGTCAGGTAACAGGTCGTATTTCCATTTTCCATTTTGTTTTGTTCCCCTTATTATAAATGGTAGTCGGGAAACAAATTGTTTCCCAATTATGGTTTTCTCATTTTAAAACAAAAATCTGTTGGCCATAAAGTACACTGATCAATCAACCTGACCTTAACCACAGTGTCTACATCGCAGTTCAACACATAACACATAAAATAAGTCTTGACTCTAAGAGTTACTGATTCACCTTGTGGGGACCACTATGAGATCAGTCCCCATAACGTGACTGTGTTAAGTCCCCACAATGTATGTTACATAGACACACTTTTTAATGCTTATTTTAAATACAATGGCAATTAGAGCAAATTTGTTTTGCCATTATTTTGGTCACAAACTAAAGTACGGTAATACTAAATTCAGATTTTCAGATTTTGAAAATAAAAATGATTTGCAGTTTTTAAGAGTTAAATTTAGTTCAGTTTAATTATTGTTGTTTTATTAGTCTGTTTTCTGCCTCTTTAGAAACTTAATTTTCACTGTGGTTATTCATGATTAATTGTGTAAATCTGCTCAGCTGTGCATTTAAAAATTTAATCTGATACCGTGAAAAAAAAACTAGAAACAAGATTTAAAAATATATATCAATAAGAAATATTGATCTAAACTTATTCTATAAGACAACAAAGAAAAATGGAAACCATTTTAACCCTTGTGCTCTCCTCAAATGTATTACCCTCTGGACACCTTTGTGTCAAAAATGTACATGCACAAAAAAAACTGCTATTAAATCATCATACATCAATATTCTTTTCAGCTTTTTTTTTCATAAATCTCTAAAAAACTACCAAACATTAAATCATTTTTAGGATTTTAACCCTTTAAATGGCAGGTTAATTATTTGAATTATTTCATTATTATTACAAAAAAGCACAAAAGATTAATTATTTTCCATATAATAAACAGTAGGGGAATAAGGCTTTGGTGGTGATTAGAGTCTTGGAAGTTTAGCAACAAAAATGTATTTGATTGCATTCGTATTTTTTATGTAGTGCCAGATACTCCCTCTGGACACCTTTGTGGCTAAAAATGACTCATTGAGTTACATTAAAACCACATTTTTAACCACCTTGATTTTGCATGCCCCAAAGGTGATCTTTTAAATGTGTGCTACTAACGTGACGACTACGATAATCGTTTCCACCATTTCTTCTGATACAACTTCGCTGATAAGATTTATGTAGAAATACGTGAAATTTTTCAACTTGCGTAGAAGACCCAAATGGGAATTTGCTTCATTAGAGTCTTCCGTGGTATGCGTCTGTTTCGCTTCTTTATATTGACTTTGCATGTAAAGTACTCTTACAAATAATTTTATTCACCTTGGTGGGAACGCAGCATAAGTGTCAACTGAGAGCTGCCTTTTATAACGGCGAACAAACGTTGAAACGTTTTACAGAATTCAACATACTCGACATATAAAAGATGGACGTCTCCACCTTCTCCCACTGTACAAAAATTAGGCCAGAATATCATCTGTCTCTATTCAGAGCCAGAGTCTGTGCAGGAGTGATCGGGGTCGGCGTTGGAGCCACGGTATCGAGGTCCCGCCCATACAGCCGTCCGACTGAGTGGTGAGCAGGGCTCAGCTGTCAATCATAACGTGAAACCCCCTTTTTATATCTTCAAATAACTAATTAAAACCAAACTGATGAAAAATGAACAAACATCAGCGTGATAACGACCTAAAATATAGAGAGAGTCTATACTGCAGTCAGCCACCAGGGGGAGATAGAGAGAGAGAGTCTATACTGCAGTCAGCCACCAGGGGGAGATAGAGAGAGAGTGTCTATACTGCAGTCAGCCACCAGGGGGAGATAGAGAGAGAGTCTATACTGCAGTCAGCCACCAGGGGGAGATAGAGAGAGAGAGTCTATACTGCAGTCAGCCACCAGGGGAGATAGAGAGAGAGTGTCTATACTGCAGTCAGCCACCAGGGGGAGATAGAGAGAGAGAGTCTATACTGCAGTCAGCCACCAGGGGGAGATAGAGAGAGAGTCTATACTGCAGTCAGCCACCAGGGGGAGATGAGAGAGAGAGTCTATACTGCAGTCAGCCACCAGGGGAGATGAGAGAGAGAGTCTATACTGCAGTCAGCCACCAGGGGAGATAGAGAGAGTCTATACTGCAGTCAGCCACCAGGGGTAGAGAGAGAGTCTATACTGCAGTCAGCCACCAGGGGGAGATAGAGAGAGAGAGTCTATACTGCAGTCAGCCACCAGGGGGAGATAGAGAGAGAGAGTCTATACTGCAGTCAGCCACCAGGGGGAGATAGAGAGAGAGTCTATACTGCAGTCAGCCACCAGGGGGAGATAGAGAGAGAGTCTATACTGCAGTCAGCCACCAGGGGGAGATAGAGAGAGAGAGAGTCTATACTGCAGTCAGCCACCAGGGGAAGATAGAGAGAAAGAGAGTCTATACTGCAGTCAGCCACCAGGGGGAGATAGAGAGAAAGAGAGTCTATACTGCAGTCAGCCACCAGGGGGAGACAGAAATGGAGTCTATACTGCAGTCAGCCACCAGGGGGGTAGAGAGAGAGAGAGTCTATACTGCAGTCAGCCACCAGGGGGAGATAGAGTTTATTTTTTATGTATTTATTTTAGTGTAAAAAGAGAAAAACAGATTAAATCTTGTGTAAAACAACATTGAAGCAGCTGAAATAGAAGACTGATAGAATTGTTTTAATAATGTTGCAGATGAAACACATTAAACTGAGAATCATTATGAATCTTTGCTAAAACGAGACTTTTTCAGGTGTTTTTGAATAAAGATAATGAAGATATTGATTGCAGTGATGGAAATGTTCCAGAGAGGTGTTCCTCTGTATTTCTCTGATTATTGATTAAGGGAAGTCCGACAATACTGAACCAGCTGCAGAAACTGGAGGTTAGTTAGCCTAGCTGGCTAACGTTAGCACTGTCAGAACTTCTTTTACCATTTTTTTGTTTCGTTATTTTGCTGCACACACTGAGGTTCTCTCCAGCTTCTGACACCATTCTGTCTTTGGTGATACTGATGAACAGTCCCACCAATAAAACTAATGAATTGTATCAGTCAATCAGCAACTCAGCTAATCTGTCAGCCAATCAATCAATCAATCAATCAATCAATCAATCAATCAATCAATCAATCAATCAATCAATCAAGTCAATCAATCAATCAATCAATCAATCAATCAATCAATCAATCAGTCAATCAATCAATCAATCAATCAATCAGTCAATCAATCAATCAATCAGTCAGTCCTTAACTGGAAAGCACCAACAGGCAGTTTTATTAATATTGGTCCAGAGTGAGAACCGTCCGCTCTGCATTATATTTTACACATTAAATAAACACAAACATTAAACTGTGACGATGGAGAAACTTTTTAACTTTGGAACAAATAAAAATGAAACTTTACTTTGTGTATCCCTGAAATAATCTCAATCTATAATAAATATATGATTCCAGCTGCAGGTTAAAGGCAGGAAGAGGATCTGAAACCCAAAAAGCTTTAATAATTTTATTATTTTTGTATCAAAAGAAAAACTGGATTTTATTACCCTTGTCCTTTAACCAACGTTCAATATATTAAGTTTAGAATTTAAGCATATAATATTTATTTAGTTAATAAAGTATGATTATTTGTAATAATTGCATCATTCTGGCCTCTCTGAGCTTTATAGTTCAGCTTCATCAGATGATAAGTTGCAGCTGGAGGTCTCAGTGTGTTCTTACCTTGGAGAGCTGTTTGCTGAAGGGGGGGATCTGGATCTTGCCGAGCCGCCGGAGGGTCTCCAGGGTGAGCGCCGCGGTGCTGCTGGTCAGCAGCTGGATGAGCGTCAGGAAGCCGAAGTGATAATTACTGATGAGGAACTTGAGCAGGATGTTGAGGGAACCGGAGAAAACGCCGTGCGCAACGGCCACGGAGATCCCCAACAGCCGGCTCTTGAACACATCCATGGTGGTCCGTTTTAACGACAGTCAGACAGGAGGTGAGACGGGTCTGTCGGTGCCCGGGGTTTTGGAGAGGTTGAGCCGGGAGGTTTTTACGCACGGCGGCGACGCACCGCTGCTGCCCGCGTTAGTGCCGTCAGTGGAGGGACAGTCCGCATCCAGGAGCTCTTCCAGAGAGAAAGTGAGAGCTGAAGGGACGAGGAGATCCTCTGCGGCTCCGGTTCTGCTTCAGCTGCAGATAATTAACACATGAAGAAGCTGAGCCATTGTTGGTTCCCTCTCTCCCATCATCCTCAGCGGGAGACTTCAGCAGAGTTTTACTGTGCGCAAAACAAACCGGTAACAAACCCTCCGGTAAGTGAGGGAGGAGAGGAAAGAGGAGGAGAAGTGATTCCCGGAGAGCAGAAGCTGCAGCAGAGTTCAGGAGGAGCAGGAGGAGCTGGAGGAGCAGGAGGAGGTGTAGGAGGTGTACAGTAGAGGGGAGCTCGTCCTCTGAGAGCGCTGCCTGGGAAATATGACATTTTGCCGCAGCGTCTCCTGGCTGAGAGAGAGAGAGGGGGGGGTGAGAGAGAGAGAGAGGGGGGGGAGTGAGAGAGAGAGAGAGAGAGAGACTGAGAGAGAGAGGGGGGAGTGAGTGAGAGAGAGAGGGGGGGGTGGAGGGAGAGAGGGAGAGGAGGGGAAGAGAGAGAGACACAGAGAGAGAGAGAGAGAGAGAGAGAGGAGAGAGAGAGAGTCATTTCACTCATTTATTTCTAACTGAAACATTCCCCATAATAATTCTGGTGTAAATTCTGCTGTGGACAAAATCAATTCAATGTTTCCTCATTTGGCTCTATTGTCTAATTTGAAAGCCTCCAAACCAAAATCTCAACAAATGAACAATAACAAATGGTTTGACACTGAATGCAAAAACCTAAGGAACTTTAAGGAAATGATCAAATGAAAAGCATAGAGACCCAGATCACCAACATACGCTGTCAATATGAGACACTCTGAAACAATACAAGTACACCCTAAAAACAAAGAAAGAACAACGCAGCAACAACCAGCTCTGTGAAACTGAGGAATCCCTCGAGTCCAACCAGTTCTGGAAGAGATGGAACAACCTAAAGAAAACCCAGCAGGATGAACTTTAGTGAATTATACAGTAATATTACAAAAAGTGATGATCAGTACACGGGATATTTGCTGCTTCTAATTAATCAACAATCAATCAATGTTTCTTTCATACAAATGAATCAATAACAAACAGAAAACATAAATATAGTTCAGTCTCATTGAGATTCATTCATTCACACAGTGAGAGGTCAGAGGTCAGTTCACTGTGGTTGTGTACCCGCTCTATGTTAAACTACAGTGTATATATATATATAGAAACCGTCATGCTCATAGGCTCCGCCCCTTTAAACGTTCCACTTTGAGCATTCAAACATCAGTAAACAACAATAAACCTTACACTGATAAACCTGTAGGGTTCCTCTCTGCACTTTGATTGGAACTTTATGGACTTTATCTTCTGTTAGTAAACTAGTGTTTTGCTGACATTAACTTTCTTTAGATGTGACCATATATGGCAGCTAGCATACCTCAGTACAGGAAACCACCAACGTCCCGGTGACTCCGGAGGTAAAGAGAGACGATCAATAAAATGAATATTGGTACACAGTTTCACAGTAAGTCCATCATCCCTCCATCTTTGGTTCAGAGCCGTTCACCTGGAAGCAAACAGACCAATCTACATCTGCTCTTTTACTGTCTTCACCTCCACTGTACTCTCTCTCTCTCTCTCTCTCTCTCTCTCTCTCCCTCTCTCCCTCCCCCTCTCTCTCTCTCTCTCTCTCTCTCTCTCTCTCTCTCCCTCTCTCTCTCTCTCTCCCTCCTCTCTCCCCCCCTCCCTCTCTACCCCTCTCTCTCTCTCCCCCTCCCTCTCTCCTCTCTCTCTCTCTCTCTCTCTCTCTCTCTCTCCCCCTCTCTCTCTCCCTCCCTCTCCCCCTCCCTCTCTCTCTCCCCCTCTCTCTCTCCCCCTCCCTCTCTACCCCTCTCTCTCTCCCTCCCCTCTCTCTCTCTCTCTCTCTCTCTCCCTCTCTCTCTCTCCCCCCTCCCTCTCTCCCCCTCTCTCTCTCCCCCCCTCCCTCTCTCTCTCTCTCTCTCTCTCCCTCTCTCTCTCCCCCCTCCCTCTCTACCCTCTCTCTCTCCCCCCTCTCCCTCTCTCTCTCTCTCTCTCTCTCTCCCTCTCTCTCTCTCCCCCTCCCTCTCTACCCCTCTCTCTCTCTCTCCCCCCTCTCTCCCTCTCTCTCCCTCTCTCTCTCTCCCCCTCCCTCCCTCTCTCTCTCTCTCCCCTCCTCTCTCTCCCCCCTCCCCCTCCCCCCTCTCTCTCTCTCTCTCAGTTCAGTGTAAATCTGCTTTATTGGCGTAACAGATAAAGAATTTAGATCTTGAAGCCTCTGCAGGGATAAAATTAATCAGAAAACGAACAGATAAAAGATTAAATAATCAACAGATTCTTTAAAAGCAGGTTAGTGTTTGGAAGCAGAACATTCAGCGGAACCAGCAACGCAGAACCAGAGGAAGAGAACCGTTCAGTGTTTGTACGTCACGAAACAGAGAAAAACATCAAAGAAACTGGAAGCAGAAGAAGTGTAAATGTACAGTCTGTAATTTCTGCCACCAGGCGCATTAGGACCCGACCTGTCCCCACAAGGTCAGAGTGTATACTGCCACGGGTCCCCAGTAAGTAACAAAAACGTGTTCACACACCCCATTATCCCTGTCCTAAGGTTAGAGTGAACATACTGCTAACATAAAGCTAACAGACTGAGTCTAAAGCTAACTGACTGAGTCTAAAGCTAACTGACTGAGTCTAAAGCTAACAGACTGAGTCTAAAGCTAACTGACTGAATCTAAAGCTAACTGACTGAATCTAAAGCTAACTGACTGAGTTAACAGAGGCTTTATGTTGAAAGAGGACAGAAACAAACACATTGTGCTTTGTTTACTGGAACTGAGCCAGAAAATGTAAAACAATAAAATAATCAATAAAAACACCTGCAGCTTTTCTCTCTGTAAGTAAACTGTTTGGACGTATGCCATCATTCTGTTATCACTCCTCCTCCTCCTCTTCCTCCTTATCAGAAACAGAGACATCAGCATCACTCATAACAGGCGTGGAAATGGCTTGGGCAATATTTTAATTGAAATACTTCATCAGAAAATCAGTTTCCAGGCCACGAGGGAGGAAGATCCGCCCTTATCGAGCTCAGACCATTAGCTTCCAATTAACAGGCAGAGACAGAGGAGGACGCATTCAAACGGGAGGAGATTAAGACCGGGGCCTGCTGTCTGCTGGGATGGAGAGAAAAATCCCCCAATGCATCCATTATTCCACAAACTATAGGTAATATAGATTAGGCCAAGTAATTTAAGTTAAAACACAGCAGGAACGTCTTCAATCCGGTTTAATATGCATTTTTAAATGAATGTGTGGCTCACAAACAGGCTGAACGGTGGAGGAAGAGCAGCCGGAGAGAATAACACTGGAATATTCTGCTGGTTTCACACTGTACCAGTGTGTCAGCTGTTTCTCTTCTATCGCTCTTTTCTGGGGAAATATTTTAAAATGCATGAATGGAAAAAAGTTGAGAAATGATGACATCAGTATTTGTCTCTGTGGTCGTCATATTTCTGTGTATCGACTGAAGTCACAGTGTTTGGTGTTAGGAGGAGGAAGAACAGACGAAGAGGAGAGGACACAAACTATTGGATGCAATTTGAGTTTATTTGACAATATTTGAACATTTCTAAATTATTAATGAAAGATTGATTGGATCAATAATAAAAATGTATCAGTTTATGTTAGAAAACATTTGAATGATCATTAAAAGCTTCCTGTTTAAACTTTATTGACACCATTCATACAAACATCAAAGATAAAAATAAAACAGAAAGAAATACTGAGAAACACAAATTATAAGATATAAAGATTTGATAGAAATAATAATAATAATAAATAACAGCAGAGAGAAAAATAATATAAAAACAATAATCTGTATCAATATATTTACAGTACAGGTCAGTGTGGAGGAGGATCTACTCTCAGAAATATTACATTTATATTTATATAGCAGTTTTGTTTTATATTATTATAATGTGAGACCACCTGGAACTCCTTCAGGGACCCCTGTTGGTCCCCGGACCTCAGGTTGAGAAACAACACTATCAACATCAGTGACATCAGTGTGGTCTCTGCTCGTCATATTTCTGTTCATAGATCCTAAAAATTAAAGAAAAGGAGGTGAAGATGAAGAAAGATTAGAGGACATGAAATGGACAAGTGGAGGAGCAGGAGATGAAGAGGAGGAAGAGGAAGAGTTTCCCCTGCAGGGCAGAGAGGAACCGTTCACGCATCATCACCAGGAGAGCTGTGATTGGCTGCAGCCAGAGAGATATTCTTCATCTTCATCTTCATCCTCACTGTATTTACATCCTGACAGAAAACGATTCCACTCACTCTATCAAACTGTATTGATCGTATCGTTGCCCCTGTATCTGGATTATTAACTCTGATCACCGTGGCAACGATTTAGACGCAGTGAGACTGTTTCTGTTGCTGATATTGATCTTTATTAAAGGCACTGACATTTCACATCACTCACAGCTGACATTTAGTCTTAAACAGAATAAACGAAAGAACAGACGCAGACATTAAAGATATTATAGATCATTATAGGACGTAATAGATTTATAAACATCACTGTATCATTCACAGTAAAGTGAACACAACACTAAGCAGAGACTTTATTTCATGCTGTTACAGGAGCTGACACAATGTACTTGTTGTCTTCAGAGTAAATGAAAGATCATTGATTGGATCTCCTCTGTGAGTGTGAGAGAGTTCTCATTAAACAGGTGGAAGGTTCCCAGAGCTGCTGCTGATAAGAGTCAGTATTTATAACGAGGAGGTGAACTGTTGATTCCAGGGTTCAGACTTCAGAACACACATAAACACATCTGATGTTTCATAGAAAGAAAGAAAAAACCCTTTTTTAAATTTCTTTCTTTCCTCTCTTTGAAAATGGCCATACCACTTTTTCCGTCGCCACACTCTAGGCTAACTTTGGCGCGTTGCCGACATGCTAGCATGGCATGGTTGGTACTGATGGATTTGTTAGATCTGGTTTCATATGAAAGCAGTATGTTCTCTCTAACCTTAGGACAGGGATAATGGGGTGGCTCTTGCCCCACTGCCCGCTCAATTGCCCAGCCCTGATCAGCTGTGTGATGTGACACTTAATGCTCTTTCTCCCTGAAACTTCATATTCAATCAAAATGTTTCAAATAATGATGGAAATTCAAAAAATATGTGTGCGTGTGAACGTGTTTTTGTTACTTATTGGGGACCTGTCGCAGTATACACTCTGACCTTGTGGGGACAGGTCGGGGGCTAAAGACCCAGTCCTAATGCGACCTGGTCAGGGTTAGGTCTGTCTTCGGGGATACATTTCAGACCAAAGATCGGGGGTTAAAGCTGCAGTAGGTTATAAAAATATTGTAAGGACAGTTGACTGTTGAGTCTCATTCCCAGATAATCCCATCAGGAGGAACCAGAGGAACCAGAGGAACCTGATATTTTCACAGAATATCTGTCTCATGTTCGACTGTCAGGATGTAGTGAAAATTTCAGCAAATATGACAAATATATTTTTATCAGTGTCACCTACTGCAGCTTTAATTGGGGATGGAAACAATTTCTCCCATCTGGAAAAAGATATTTGGGTCTGTGGTTCGGATAAGTCTCCAGGGAATGGAAATATTATTTAGCAAAAAGTGAGTTAAGTAAATGTTTTTTATGCTCTGAGAAATAACTTTATCCACAAAAAGGGAACCGACAGAAACAGTTTGGGAAGCAGTGGGTTCGGGGAAGCCCTTCTTCTACGACGCTGCGCCGTGCGTTCCAGCAGACAGACAGGCAGGAGTGTAGATCTTCACCGTCTCGTCCCAGGAACAGTCCACCACCTGTGGACCACACAACACACACTGACAAAACAACAACAACACGTATGTACACACACTGCAGAGACGGTGGCTGAAAGTCCTCTGTCTGTCTGTCTGTCTGTCTGTCTGTGTTTCTGTGCTGCAGGTCAAGTGTGGACACTCAGGGAGGACAGACAGACGCCTCCTCTGGCGCACACTTACATCAAAGTGTTCCACCTAAATGACTGTCATTATGAGGTCGTTCCTGCTGTCCTCCGTTTCCAGGAGCAAAGAAGACGATTTATGGACGTAATTTTGTAAAAGAAAGTTTGCATCAAACGTTCCTCATTTAGTGTAATTCAACCTCTTGCTTTCATCATCCCCACTAACACACACTTCCTGTCTGCAGATAAAAAGATCCACTGAAACCTTTAATCATGTTTTATACAGACGAGTTGTAATTTGTTCAGATTGTTAATTCCATGTTTTTCTATATTTTCTATATATTTTTTGCTGCTGAGTGTACGTCTATCAACCAGTGCAGGGTCCAGACTTAGAGACTGTTTTTATGTTGGTAATTGACAGAACAGAACATTCAGCCTTCCTTTCAATTGTGGTGTTTTTACCTCTAATTGCAGAGAATAATGGTTCCCCACAACCCTCTCTTTACGCAGGCAGGAACACTCACAGATCACCGAAGTTTAGTTTCAGGTTCAATTTCTGACTAATAACAGAGAAACTCTCTCTCTTTCTCCGTTACAGCGGGAATTAAAATGAAAATATACACTGTTAAAGTTAATTCTGTTATCAAAAATTGTGAGGAAATATATTCGTCAATAACCTTTTCTTCCATAATGAAGATGCTTATGAGACAGAACTGACCTCATTAATCAGGAACTGTGAACAAATCACAGACGAAAGAACTGTAACGGAGATAAACGAAAAGACGGAATTACACAGGCTGAATATTGTTTCAGTTCAAGGTAATTATCTCAGAAATTATCTCTTTTAATTATATAATTATTATTCAGATTCTTTATGAATCATATCCTCACAGAAGATATTTGAAGGCCTGACAGCGGGCGTTAGGGACAAAACAAGCAATCTGAAGACGTCACCTAATATAGAATAATATAATATAAAATCAAACTCCTAATTAAATAATTAATAATAATAATGAAATTCTCTCAACAATCTGAATCTTTACTTTCTGAACTGTTTCAGATGATGCAGTGGAGGAGCAGATGTGTCTCCGCCTCCTCCTCTGTACTCTATAATCGAGCGGGACGTGGCTATCAGCTGAATGACGTGCCTCTGTGGGGACGTGGCTATCAGCTGGATGACACACTACCTCTCTGTGGTGTCTCCCAGCTACAGAACATGCAGCAGCTGATGAGTCTGCCCTTTGCTCACAGCTTTCAAAGTAAAACACCGGTTCCACTCCACTTCCACCGCAACGAATACAAAGCCTCTTTATTGTTCCCGCCGTCATGGCTGTTAGGACTCTCGCTTTGTGTTCAGATAAACAGCGAAAGAGAAGCTGCAGCCGGCTGCTCCGTGAAGTGGGATAATAAATACATCCTGGTCCTTACTGTCATTCTGCTCTAGTTTGTTCCTGCTACTATAAACTTTTAGGCAGCCACTCAGAGGAAATGCATTAACCTGCCAGCAGCTATACCTCATTATAATCCCTCACTGTGAGAGACAGGGGTTGTTTGAATCTGTCACAGTTTATTTGTAGCTGTAATATTTGTTCCTGGCTCCACATAAACCTGCTTATAAGTGTTAATTATAATATGTTAATGCCCACAGCACTTTCGGGCTGCATCACAATGAGCTCCACAGAAATGTTGATATTCGACATCTGTCCACCAGCTGTGTCACTGTCTGTGTTTGCACTCATGTACGCTGACGATTCACCTCTAAGTATGGATGTCTGAATGGTTGTTCCAGCCACTGGTTGGAAGCCATAACTGAATCTCAGAGGCCAACATTCTCCACCCTCAACCTCGCCTCTTAGAGCAGGGTTTATCAAACATTTCAAACCATCTAAGTACCGTTATGCCCGACCTTAAAATCCATCAGCGTTGGACAAACTTTTTCAGCTACAGACGGCTCACACAGGAGGCGATTTATTCCTAATAAGAATATAATTTATTACTGAAGAGATAATTTGGCGGAGAAGGGGTCCTCCTGATCCACACTTCTCTTCCCAATAGTTCCTGTTAAGAGCCACGATTGGAGTGTTTCTGAACCATTAATTTGACCTCCGCCCACATTTTAGCTCTGTACTAATAATGGATGCATGCACGTGCTACGTTCATGAATGTGACTGCGCATGCAAATGAGGAGAGACCAATGGGATGCACCATCACTTTAAATGCACCAGAATGTATTACAGAGACAATAAATGGAAAGCGTGTAAATGACTTTTAGAGCCACACTGATAGCATGACCAGAAAAATAAATGTATGTAATATGTCTGTAATCAGCGGCAGCAGCTGCTACTGACCCTGCATAGTTTAGTCACACAGCAGCAACCAGAAAGAGTTTGAAAAGGTCAAACTGCAGCAGCTCATGAAGGTCTGAACACTGCATCCCCCCTCCTCTGCTGCTGCTACGGTACCCCCGGGATGGACTACAAAGCTCTCACTGGAATTAACAGCTTCGTCTATGAGCTAAGATCTGATTCCAGGACTGAAGCTAAGTCCTCCTCGTTCTGACTGTTGACTGGTCACAAACACTATATAATGACAAAAAGTCAAAATTATGAGATAAAAAGTCATCCACTGTTTTAACTCTATCTAAACCAGATGAAGGATTTGAGTCATCTGGATCTTAAGTTATCAGAGCTTCTTCTATGTCTTTTGTTATTGTTTTGATGTGAGAGGCCCCCTAGAGGCAGAAATTACTGCCTACTAATACTTGGTTGGTTCCCTCCGAATCATCGGACTCCTCCTCCTCTGCTCTGCTGATCGGATCTTTGAATCAGTGAGTCAACAAGCTGAACGGCATTTCGGGGCATGAGTAAGCAAAGCAGCCTGAGCAGTGAGTCAGCCACTGAGAAGAGGAATGCCCTCCTTTAATTAACTTTAACAGCCAGCCGTAATGGAAAGGCATGCACGATGGCCAAGACTGCAGCAAAGCACAAAGACAGAGAGAGAGAAATACAGAGAGAGAGAGAGTTTGTGTAAGATGTATAACGAGGAGAAGGAGGAGCGGCAGAAAGGAGGAGGAACACAAGAAAAAGGCCTAAAGGGAAAATAAAAGACAAAGTTCAAAGTCTGACTAATATTAAACGTCTTCTTAAATGTCTTTCTTATTTTAAATAATGAGGAGAAAGATGAATGGAGAGAGAATAATTAAAACACTAATAAGCTGGTGGCAGATATGTGCTCTGAGGGGGGAGGCCCACGGTGGTCATACGGTACAATACGCCTCTTTTTACTCCTCTTTAATCGTCATGGTAACGGCACCTTGAGTGACAGTTCCTCACAGTCATTGACTGCAGCACAAACAACAAAAAACTTTTCGTTTTTAAACTCGAACCAGAGAAAATTTGGGATTTCTGATTTTTTGGTTGAGAAGCACCAAACGTGGATCAATCCACCACTGAAAATAGTCCTCAGCATTGGTACACCAAGACAAAATAAAAAAAAAAAGGTATAAATAAAAAAAAAAAACAAACGAGCAGTTCAGGAGGAGAAGAGGATGAGGAGGAGTTTGATATCTCACAGTTGGTCTGATAATGTAACGTTATTAAACCGGCAACCACGTGTCTGAAATTATGTGTGAGTCTCTACAACCAAACTGTGACGGCCTCGGGTCTCCCTGACTGCCTGGCCCCTCCCACCTCGCTGAGGGTCTGGTGTCACCTGACTGGAGCCGTTAGAAGCTGGGTGCGTTCAAGATTCAATTCAATTCAATTCAATTCAGTTTTATGTGTATGTCACCAATTTATAACAGAATTTATCTCAGGACACTTTTCAAATAGAGCAGGTCTACAACAGTTCCCACCATGAGCAAGACCTTGGAGACAGCGGCAAGGAAAAACTTCCTTTAAGAGGCAGAAACCTCGGACAGACCCCGAGTCTAGGTGGGTGGTCGTCTCTCTCTCTCCCACACTGGTTTTGTTTGGTTTCAGATTGTGCTTATTTAGTTTAGCCTCGGGTCACGTTGGACAGAGTTTAACTTAAACACAACAGACATTGTGCATCGACATCTTCTAATATATTGAATTTTTATGTTACTATTGTGATGCTGCCAACATGTCACACACTGCCACTCAGTCAGTGGCCCTCTGCTTCAAAATATGGAAGTATCCTCTAGCATCATTTCTGCACAGGGACAAGTTTGCAGTAATAAATATACAACCTTCTGTTAGACTTTCAAAATAAAGGTCTGTGCAGCTCCTTCAAGGACTGTTTTATCAGCACTTCCTCTTATTTATTCATCCATTTATTGTTTGTCTGCTTTTACTCCATTACTAGTGTCTGTTTTTGTCTTCTAATCTATATTTTTCTGAGCTATTGAATACCTGAACACACACCAACACACAGAGTCATAGCAACTGCGGCCTCCATGGACAACAAACAGCTGACTCCGCCAATCACAGTGATGAGGACGGAGCAGCAGATCACAGCTGTCAATGTCACTCACACACACACACACACACACACACTTTATATTTGATGTGAACTGAGAGAGGTTTAATTTCCATATAGAATCATTTTTGCTCACAAATCTGTGTATTAATATACAGCACTGTATATATATGTATACAAGCACACACTTTCCCTATAAATCAATCAAACAGTCAATCAATAACTAAAGTTCAGGACTTATTTATTGTAACAGTTGAGTCTCAGATGTTCTAGGAATAAGTTCCATCAGGTTCAATGGAAAAACAAAATCCAAAATCCCAGATTTCATGTAAACTTCAACACGAAACCTGAAACTTGGTTCTGCTTATTTCTCCAGCCGGGCACCATTAACCCGCTGCAGAAGAAGAGGGCAACAAGAGGATGTCATTAAAAGAGCTTCAGTAAAGAAGCTGTGAAATAACGTAGAGAACATGCTGGAAATAAAGAATTTCCATTTATTTCCTGTGTCAATTTAAATAAATAAATATTAATTTGAAGGCTACAGTCTCCTCATCGCTCCACACAGATCTGATGTTCTAGTCTGTCGCCATGTTTCGTCTCTTCACTGGGAACGTTTGAGTCACATGCTTCATGTACTTTATGATTTACTCACTAACACACACCAACTTTTCCACCTCAGCTGAGTTTTCAATTTACATTATTCTTAACCATGAAAATGGCTGCAAACTGTTCTTATTCCAGTATCAGTGGGAATCACCGGAGAATATGCTGACGTTCTGAAACAACTTGCTGATGTGACCCACGAGGAGAAGACGACATGCAGACAAATAATATAAAGTGGTTGAGAGAGAGAGAGAGGATGGAGGGAGACAGGGACACTGAGGGCAGATGTTGTGAGTGTGTTATTTTACAGCCTCTGTAATAACGTCTGATAACACACACTAACAATACAGCTTATTACTGCTGTCCCCTCCTCCCTCACAGACAATACAGCTCATTACTGCCACACACTCCGCTGGCTTACGGTCTGCGGTCGACTCGCCCTCTGTGATTGGTTGCCATGGGAAACTGACCGTTTACTGTGACGCTGTGGGTTCACGCTCTGGCGTTATCACTTCCACCTCGTCGCTATCGGCGTCCTGGAAAAATGCTTGCTCACATTTTCCAGCGAGCTATTTTTGGTTGTAAGTGAAAAGTCGTGATTCTGCAGCAAACTCTGGTTCTGGTTTATATTAGTCCATCAATCTCCCAGAAACACCAACAGAAACAACACGTCAGTCCTCTTCTGACTTCCTGTTTGTGGTTCTCAAGAGATGTAGATCTTATGTTTATATATGATATTTAGAACATTACTATAGCAGCAAACATTTTCCTGTGTTTTACATTGTGTGCTTGTTCGTATGTGAGCGACTGAAACTGCTGTTTTTATCATCTACGTCGGTGAATTAAGGATTTATTTCCACCAAACCAGAGTTGGCGGTTTTAATCCGTTTGATTCTGTTTCTGTCCACTTTGAATGAAGTTACGATGATCTGAAGGTAAAATGAGTGTTTTTGTCTCTGGAGTCTGGTGGAGAGTGATAGTGATATTACAGTTTGTTAAACAAAAGGTTTACATTTTCACATCTAACTTGCTGAATTACAGATTTATTTCCACTAAACCAGGGTTGGTAATTGTGATAAAGATGGTTTTTAGTGAGTTTTATTTTGTTTCTGTCCAGTTTAAAGTTTGTTTTATGATTATCTGCTCGGTAAAAGTACTGTTTTTGTCAGTGGAGTGTGGTGGGCCGTAGCACCCATTTGTTTTGTTTTGCTATAAGGGGGTACATTTCATAACTTTACAAGCAAATGAACAGGAAATAGTGCATTTGTTAGGGACTATTTTCAGCTGTGGGTGAACCCACATTTGGTGCTGGAGTATTCGTGGCAGCATGACGGTGTTTGAGTAATCTACAGTGTGTGTGTTCATGGTGATGAAGGAACAGTGTAGCTCACTGACTGAGCTCTATGGCACAAAGGACGAAGATATATCAGCCTTTGATACACACAATACTTCTTATTAGACACATTCACTGTTTGGTTTTGGTCTTTTCGTGGTCGTTGTTGATAAAACTATTGAATAAACCAGATTCATCCACTACTACAAAAGCAGCTTCAGCACAACGGACATTGGTTTGTACAATTCTCGAGGACAAATTGCCGTAATTTCAACTGTAATTTCCACAGCAATTTTTGTCTGAGATCAAAAGCTTTAAAGGCTGTCCTGAATAAATCCTCCTCGTGCTGCCTGGACTAAAATTTAATGGACCATACCAGCGACTTCAGCTCATCAGCTATAACAGTGATCTTTTTGGCATGAACCATTTAAAGCAGAGTGATGTCTACTCTTCACAGAGTCCATACGTTAGCAGTGTGTAGCATTATGTGTAGCATTATGTTGATTTCACCACCATCCTGTTTATTATCTCACAGCCAGTCAGATTCACCCTGCAGGGTTGAAGCTGGTCCTGTCTCCAGTTTGGGAAACTCTGAACAATTTCTTCTTAATACAACAGAGACTATGTACAGCTGCAACTAAATGTCTTCTCAATGTGAACATTTTCTGGTTTCTTTCATCCCCTGTGATAATAAACTGAATCTTTGGAGACAGAACAAGAGATCAACATTTTCTGACATTTTATAGACCGAACAACAAATCAATGTTAACTGCAGCACCAGAGGAGACTTCAGAGTTTGACACCTTAATTTTTCCTCCACTGAAGCAGAACCAACAGATGGTCATTGGACGGTCCGTCCCTGATGTACTTGAGAAATATCTTGCAAACAACAAGTCAAACTACCATCACATTTATTCACAATCTCCAGAAGCTGGTTTCTGATCACTTTGGTGACCGGAACCCTTTTTTTCTGCACCACCATCAAGTCAAAAAGTCTCGTTGACCAAAACTTTGTTTTGAGATACGAGACAAGTATCTCCAAAAAAATGTCCATGAAAGCTCCAGTGTGTAACAGGCTCTATTGTCAGAAATGGAATATAATATTCACAGGTACGTTTTCATTAGTGTTTATCAGCTGAAAATACTAATTGATGTGTTTTTGTTACCTTAGAATGGGACGTTTTTATCTACAGTTGCGGCAGGTCCATGGAGGCCGCCCAACTATGAACTGTGATCATTACTTCACCCATTGATTTGTGGAACCTCAAGTTTGGCGTTAGGGTTGTCGCCGTGACAGTTTGTCGGAGCCAGCAGAGGCTCCTTTCTCCATCAGACTGTATGGTATCAGTTTATATTGCAGCCAGTAGAGCTGCCCCCTGCAGGTCTACATTATATCTACTATTAATGAGCCATGTTGGACCACCATGTACCTACAGCAGCCCAGAACAGACAAACCAAATACTGGCTCCAGATAGGAACTTTCACACTTTTTAGAGCCACCGTAGTTTTTCTGACACACGTAGAAGGCTGAGCTGTATTCAGTTAGGATGAATCCTAATGGTTTAAATGCAGATCTCCTAATCTAAATAAGACAAAGATGAGTGATCATGGATGATGTGAATATGGTTGTTTCTTCCATTAAAAAAGTTGTGGTTTGGCCATCGGCTCACAGTTTGTGTGTGTCATGAAAAAGTTTCCAAACCTGACTTTGAAAGTTGATTTTTAAAGTGTTACTGAACTGAATCTGATGGCTACCCTCAAGGAAGGACATCAATCTCAGAACTAATGGTACGCTCTGCACAATGGTCAGCAGTGATGTATCCACCTCTCGCAGTTAATGGGCTAAAACATACAAAGCCACTTGTTCTATTAGGGTCCGATAAAAATACAATTTATATATTACAACACAGAGGTCTTTTAAAGTTTAGCTAACAAAGATAAAAGTACCAGATGTTTCAAAATGAGGCTGTAACGTATGAGTGATGACCTCAGTTTCCTTCTGTAAATTCAACACTCATTTCCCAATCGCAGCGTCGACCCCGGATGCTTTCTGTCACTGTTTCCCACGCATGTATCCAGTGATATATAGCTGAACTCTGCTGGTTGTCACTTTCCCCTCTGTGCTCTGGATTTTCTCCTCTGGGGGGGTTGAGGGTCCACACGGCGTCTGTCCAAATTATCCAAAAAAACTGAATTAGACACGAGTGGCCTTTTCAATTCACTGCTTCCCCGACACGCTGGAACACACAGCTCCCTGACAGTCACTGTGTGTGGGTTAACCCCGGCCAGCTCACGTACAGACAGATTGATGGATGGGCCCATTTCAAGACCCACAGCAAACACTCACACAGACGGAAAGCCGGATGTGGACACAGAGAGTCTGTGACAGAAACACAAAGAGGTGAGCAGAGGGAGAATCTGAAATATATTTCCTTCAGGTTTCCATCCATCGTCCAAGGCTCATCTAGGTCTTGGTGGCAGCGGTCTGAAGGAGAACTCCCACGTTTTTTTCATGTTCCAAGTCTGATTTGTTTTCTCTGACGTGTTTATTGAAGTGTAATCTGCACAGGCAGCAGACCTCCAGCTGTCTGCATGCTATGAACATATTAACGATATCTATAATGATGGTTTCACTGTGGGCTCACAGAGCTGCAGTGCACAGGGAAATAATCTGGGCAGTCCCAGACTAAAGATTAGTCGACTATATAACCTGAACCTTTTCAACTGTGGAAGCTAACTCAGGGTTCCCACTCTTTTTAAGAAATCATTTTCCAGGACTTTTCCAGTAATTTGTATTAACAATACAGGACAGCACTTGCTCACAATAGTGGTCAGCGTTCTTCGCATTAGCTCGCTTTCAATGGTGCACAGCCAGTTTTTCCTCAGAAGAACGGAGATAACATTCATTTATCCATAGACCATAAATAACAGTTCAAATCAACAAAAAAATTATATTACAGAAAATCTATCTTCTAATCTATATTAGCCTTAAAAAGAAAAGTGTTTGTTGCACAATTAACATTAATCAACAACAACAAAAACATATGTAAATGTGATCATTAATAACTGTATATATGTAGATGTGACTGCAGGAAAGGAGCATTTTTTCACTTTGTATCTGTAAAGTAGAATTGGAGTGTCACAGTGTGAATTAAGGGATAAAATACAATACAAATTTTCCAGGACAACATAGTTAATTTCCAGGATATTTGAATCAATTTCCAGGTGTTTCCAAAAACTAGTCTCTAATTTTCCAGGTTTTCCAGATTAACCAGGATGCGTGGGAACCCTGCAACTGCTTACTTTTGTCTAACTAAAATTGATCGTACTTTATAAAAAATAAAAAGACATTAGCTTAAAATCATATGTGGACACTATTTAAACTCACCTGCAGAGCCTCCGAGCTATGACTCACCAGGTAATGTGTTTTTTGCCATTATCATTTATAAGTTTGGATGTGAAATGACGCAGGCAGGACGCTGTTTTGACCTTTAGAGCTGCAGACTGGACAAAGTTCTGCCATCATTTCAACAGTGTGGACATTCCAGACAACATCGCAGATTTTACGTTATCCAATGAGCTGGTTGAGTAAAATAAGACACAAACAGCAGCACTGTTGAACAGCCCTGCCAGGACGGGTGTGTGTTACCTGGTTGGGGACATGCAGGTTGAAGTCGAGTCCGCAGACAAACTCTGAGTGATGCTCCACAGTGTCCAGAAGAGGCTGGGTCCTACTGTAATCCCAGAACCTGCACACACACAAACACATACTTTCATTTAACGGCACAAAACTGACCCAAACAAGTACAGGATGGAAAAACTTTATTTACTGAGAACATTCTGAGCACACCCTGTTTGAGCTGAAATCTTGAGAAGAAAGATGGCAGAGAGCTCAGAATTTACTTTTACCGGTGGTGAAATTACAGCAACTGTTTTCACCCAAAAGGGGGCGGGCTTGACACAAGGCCAAAGTACCCAGATGGGCTGCTCTCAGTTATGCGTGAGTGAGATTTAATGAAGAAAATAAGGGAGGATGATGAGTAAGAGGAAGGGAAGCAGAGAGACGCAGACAGAGAAAGGGTTTTATAGACATAAAGAGGAAGGGATGTAAAAAAGACAGCAATCTAGGGAATGAGATTAAGAAAAATAAAGATGAATAAGAGCTAAAAGAGAAAAGAGAGCGAGGGAGACGAGAGGCCAATAAAACACTGCCTCCAGACTTCAGGCAGCAGCGGCCAATCAGACTAATTGAAAGACTGTTTCTCTTCCTGGTCTTGACAGAGTGGCGTTTGTGTGTGTGTGTGTGTGTGTGTGTGTGTGTGTGTGTGTGTGTGTGTGTGTGTGTGTGTGTGTGTGTGTGTGCCAAAGCCCTGACGCAGCAAACACTCCCTCCAGACTCATCCACTTTGCAAATGTAATTAAATCATTTTCAGAGGGAACACTGCAGCTCCCATTGGCCTCCATTAGGGCCTGAATTAATACTGAACACACGCACACACACGCACACACACACACACACACACACACACACACACACACACACACACACACACACACACACACACACTCAGTGAGCGATGGGTGTCTGGGGACAGTCGCGCATTCAGAGATATTATATATTGAGTGAGTTGTTAGTGTAAATCACTGCTCACGCTCACTTTGCCCGTGTGTACATCTGAGAGTGTGTGTGACTGACGATCGTTCCTAATGAGCACACTGAGACTTTGGCACTGATCGATAACTCCAACTGTCGAACAATGAACACAAACTTTCTCTCACACTCACAGGAAGTTGAGAAGGCAGTAAACAATGTTTTAGAGTGCAGTTCGGCCTCATTGCGGTTAAATGCGGCGGCACTTTGAGATGATTGAACTTCACTTATGGGAAGTCAGGATGAGAAAAGACAAGAACCAAAAAGAACCTAAAAGAACCTAAAAGAAACAGGATTCAGTGGCAGGTACAGCCTTCTCTCTTCTTCTTCTCTGAGTTAATTTAAAGTACATCAGGTGACTGACAGTTCTATTTTCAACCACAAACCCTTCCTACACCTGACTGATCCAATGCTCTCCTCTGAAGGACTCTTTCAGTCTGGACCAACTTGGCGGATGTTCAGTTATATCTACTACAATCACTTCAATAGTTACTTTAAAACTCATTCATTCATATGCGATGAGAACATTGACTTATATCTATATTCTGTCACTTTAAATATGTGAGTATGTACAACCTCGCTGAATGGGGTTCGCTCATTCACAAATATATGCAGGAAGTGACCGTCGCACACATCCATCACCCATAGTGCACAGCGATACGTCTGCAGCGTAATGAAGTGCAGTGGCAGTAAAAAATCTCAACGGCAATGAATGTATTTCTGTCACAGCGCTCCCATTCAGAGCATTAAGGGGCAGGAGTAATAATCCTGCAGCTAACAGCCACTGTAGCCTTGATTAGCTTCATAAAATGAGCCACAGCAATGATTCACTGCTGACTGCAGTCAGTCGGCTCAACACAGTTCAACAGTGTCGATAAAAAGCAGCAGCAGAGGTAAGATTTCTTCTCATTTACATTCCTGGAAATCATCTCACAACCCTTGTGGGGGTGCAGAGCTCCAGGTTCAGGATCACTGGTATTCAGATCACTGGTTGAAAGAAGAGCAACTGAACAACTGGTCCATTAATGACTGACGTTAACACCAGTGACTTCATTGGAGCCTTTGACTTGAAAATACACAAAACTTTCCCCCGAGCACAAAGATCTTACAGACTGTTATTTATAAAGTTTTTATCAATTTTAACAGAAACATCAGTTTACAGCTCTAAAACCAAATTTAAGTGAGGAGTACAGTTCATCTTTAATACTGTAGTTAACAGGATATCTTTGGACAAAACAAGATTGAATCCGTCACCTTGACTCTATGAAGTTATAATGGAAAATGACAAAACCAGAAACTGATAATGGAGAAAACTGTCTGCAGAGGAATTGATAATGGAAGTAATATTATAATAATATTATAATAATAATGAAAGACTTCCCAAAACAGGATGATTTAAAAATGCAGGAAATGTTGAAAAGGCATTTGTGTTTAGTGGAGGAGAAAGTCTCATGACGCAGGTGTCACACTCATGTGTGATTCAGATTATAGGTTTAGATGACGTGTGTGTGTGTGTGTGTGTGTGTGTGTGTGTGTGTGTGTGTGTGTGTGTGTGTATAAGACAGTTAGACAAATACACCATGTTATTTGTATAAATGAGGCCTGCGCTGTCTTTTGTCCAGAGTTTCCCCGGTAGGTCATTATCTAGCTCCTATTGTGTTTCATTCTGTGGAAGCGTCCATTCACCTGTCAGCTCTGTGTGTGCCTCACTATTACTACCAAACTCATTAGGCCACAGCGAATACACAGAAACAGAGAGGAGGGCGGACACAGGAGGATACGAGGACAGAGACAAAGCCACTAAACATTTACAATAAGAGAGAGAAGTGACAGAAGACAACAAAAAGAAATGTAAAGAGAGTGATTTGATCCTCCATTGATGCTTTTAATCTAAACAGGAAATTAAAGTTAGGAGTTGCACAGCGAGACTGCTGTGAACCAAAGAGCAGTTTATCTAAAGCAAACATGAGACATCAAACCTGCTGTCAGAGAACGAATATGTGACCTCAGATACTGAGTATCACCAGCTCTGGTGAGCACGGCCTTACCCGGCAGCTCACAGGTATTTTCCCCAAAAAGTCATGAAATAATTGTCTAATAACTACTTCGATGCCCCAAAACCCCTCTAGCAAGTTCAGGTTCTGGACTTTGGTATTTCTAAAACCCTGCGTACAGCGATGCTGCGTCTCTTTTTAGACACGTAGCTAGCTTAACGCTAAGACAACAGCACTGAAAATGTCCTTGTTCAAAAGGGCAAAAGAATTAGGGTTACGTTGTCTTTCGGGTTAGGGTTGTGCTAAATGTTGGTCCAATTCAGGCCCTGCAAGGATGGATATCTGAGGTCTTTAAGGACATTATTCTTCCATAAAGACATGAGAAGACAGAACTTTTCAAACATCGGGGAACCGTCTCTGTTCTCTGTTCAAGCACCAAAAAAACTAATAACTTTTGTATAATTGGAATAAATGAAAGTATATTGGTGTGTGTCTCTGAGTGTTTCTTTGTTGTATTTAGTTTTATGGGCTATTTGTGCTGTGGGTCAAGAAATGTGAGTTTCTCCTGAAACAGCTAACTGCTGAATGGCGACAAAAATCAGAAAGGTCTGAGGAGAAATCGTAAATAACAGAACTGACAATGTATGACAATAAACATCTGGAGTTATTCTTTAAAGAGGGATGGCGGCGTCAAGACTGTGACTAAACAAAGAGGGAAGAATGAGGGGCGTGCTGAGCGGAAATGAGGTATTAAAGAGTATTAATAGAACTGTGTGTGTACATGTGGCTATAGAGGAGTGTGTGCTCAGATGTATTTGCACTGAGGGCTTTGTTCTGTGTGTGTGCAGGTGGATTAGATCGGCATTCGTACGTGTTGCAACCAGTGTGTGGACACACAGGAAGGCCTATAGAGGCAGGTGTGTGTGAGCACAGTTTACACAAACACCAACAGGTGGACGCTCAGATTGAATACATCTTCACATCGACAAATCTGGATGATGGACAGCGTTTCAGCGAGGTTTACTGGGACCGGAGACATCTAAACATGTTGTTAACATTTAGGACTTTACATCAGGACAAAATGTTTCTGAAGGATCAAAAAACTTTGAATCATTGGTCTACTTTACTATAATATATGTAACATGAAATCAGTGTGGAAGCTCCATAATCAGGCATTACAGTGAGTTTTACATTATTTTTAGAAGAGCTTTTTTTAAACTGATTGTACAAAAGCTAAAATCTGCAGAGAGGCTGCGGATCAACAGACGACGAAGAGACTAACGGCTAACGATAACGGAGACGAGTCCTCCATTAATGAGGTGATTAGAGCCTCCTGCAGTCAGCCATGATCGATGCTGAGAGGGTTCACACATACATGACACACACACACACACACACACACACACACACACACACACACACACACACACACTCAATCTCAAGCTGCAGTTGAATAGGTGGTAATTGGCTTGATAATGTGTTTTTTCATTTATTTAACACAGAACAAACCTATGTGTTGTTGCTACGGAGGAAAGCACGCACGCACGCACACACACACACACACACACACACACACACACACACACACCCGTCCCATTCACAGTGTTTCAATAAGATAACATCGGATGAGGTAAACCCACTGAAACCGTGTTATCACAGCAGTAATGAATGGATTAAGGATAATTCAATTAGTTAAGTTAATAAAGGAGACAGAGTGTTAGATTAAATTAAAGATACAGGAACTTTTTAGTGTTTGAAGAAAGTTGCTCTGCACCGACAGGATCTGGTTTTTCTGATGAAACCTGCTGAGAATGAGTCGTCGAGGCTTCAGGTTTCACATCATTAACATTCAGCTTCAGGGCAGCTTGTGTAAGCGAACAGTTCTTACTCCTGATTCTCCACCAGCTCGTCTCTCACTGTGTCTCCACCAGCTTGTTCCACCAGCTCGTCTCTCACTGTGTCTCCACCAGCTTGTTCCACCAGCTCGTCTCTCACTGTGTCTCCACCAGCTCGTCTCTCACTGTGTCTCCACCAGTTCGTCTCTCACTGTGTCTCCACCAGCTCGTCTCTCACTGTGTCTCCACCAGCTTGTTCCACCAGTTCGTCTCTCACTGTGTCTCCACCAGCTCGTCTCTCACTGTGTCTCCACCAGCTTGTTCCACCAGCTCGTCTCTCACTGTGTCTCCACCAGCTCGTCTCTCACTGTGTCTCCACCAGTTCTTACTCCTGATTCTCCACCAGCTCGTCTCTCACTGTGTCTCCACCAGCTTGTTCCACCAGCTCGTCTCTCACTGTGTCTCCACCAGCTTGTTCCACCAGCTCGTCTCTCACTGTGTCTCCACCAGCTCGTCTCTCACTGTGTCTCCACCAGTTCGTCTCTCACTGTGTCTCCACCAGCTCGTCTCTCACTGTGTCTCCACCAGCTTGTTCCACCAGTTCGTCTCTCACTGTGTCTCCACCAGCTCGTCTCTCACTGTGTCTCCACCAGCTTGTTCCACCAGCTCGTCTCTCACTGTGTCTCCACCAGCTCGTCTCTCACTGTGTCTCCACCAGTTCGTCTCTCACTGTGTCTCCACCAGCTCGTCTCTCACTGTGTCTCCACCAGCTTGTTCCACCAGCTCGTCTCTCACTGTGTCTCCACCAGCTTGTTCCACCAGCTCGTCTCTCACTGTGTCTCCACTAGCTTGTTTCACCAGCTTGTCTCTCACTGTGTCTCCACCAGCTCATCTCTCACTGTGTCTGCCTGCTGTTTGCTCTGCTACGGCGTGTTCATCTGACATATGCAGCACAACCAAAAGTACGAGCTGAAAGAGGCTAAAGGTCAGGTGGTAGCAGGAAGAGCGAGAAAGTCCCCGTGTGGAGGTGGTGGATAGACTTTAACCCAGGAAGCCGCTGTTTGTGTCTCGTGTGAAACCAAAAGTAAAACTTGTGGCGTACGTTAAAGACATCAGCTACGTTACTTAAGTTACGTTTTTTTCATGTCACCTCACAGCCGTAATGTCATTTTGTCCTAACGCTAACCAAACAGCGACTCTTTCATGGCATAAACTGTATTTAGTTGTTTATACTCCAGACTCAGTCCTGACTCAGGGATCAGCTGTGAATGTGCGTCAGTGAGAATACAGCAAAACATAGCCATGAATCCTTTCTATGCATAAGTGTTTTATTAGCAGTGTTTTTACTTTGTTTACAGCCTCCAGGTTTCTTCTTCCTGGAAAACTAAAATAAACGCACTTTGGTCCTTTTTGATTATGGTTATTATTATTATTATTATTATTATTGCAAAAAGCAGTTTTATAGCAGCTGAAGGCAAAGTAGACCAGAATGATGTGTATGTGTGTGTGTGTGTGTGTGTATGTGTGTGTGTGTGTGTGTGTGTGTGAGAGTGAGTGAGTGCGTGCAGTCTATAATGAAACCAGTACTCAGCATAGAGTATTTGAGCCAATGAAAGCACGGATCAATGAAACACAAGGTTTGGCACAGAGCCAGCTCTCACCACATCTATCTTTCATCCCTCCGTCTTTACCGTCGGCATTTCACGCACTCTCTCTCTCTCTCTCTCTCTCTCTCTATCGTTCGACATTAACACCTAACACTTCTTTCAGCATCACTCCTGTTATCTTACCACCAGAGCTGTATCATCAGCAGCAGAAGTTGAATTCATTTTGAAATCAGATTTTTGTTATTCGTCCTACGCTGGTACAACTGATCCTGCAGCCTGCACTGTATGCAGTGAAGCTGACAGGGAAGGTACAGTAAGTGTACGTACCTCAGATACATAAGACCAACCAGCAGGATAAATGCATTAAACTTTACAGCCACAGGTTCCCTGAATTCCCTGCACCTTCTAACATAGGCCACGCCCATCTCCACCTGGAACAATAAAATATATAAAACCTACGTTTCCTCCTCCTATAAGAAGTGAGTCTGCACTGTGCTCGTACAACCTGTGGACTCTCACACAGCGACTCAGATCGCGTCTCTAGACCTGCAAAAAAACTGTCATCACTCCATGGAAGGTCAACGATAAAGCTTATTTTCATTATTGATTGATCTGTCAGTCCATAAAATACAGAACTGTTCTCATCACATTTTCCAGAGCCCAAGGTGTCGTCTTTAAATTGCTTATTTTTCTAAAGCTATTAAACGTACACTGATGAAAAACAGATAAACTCAGCCGGGGTTGGGACCTGCTGAATAGTAATTCATTGGATACTTTTGGATTACTGCAAAGTCAAACTTTGAAAATATTTATACTAAAATAAGAAAACCTGACTTACACAAATATTAGTTTTTCTCTTCAAACATTTTAAACTCAACATTTTCAATAAGAATAATGTGCATTTAGAATATGATAATGTTCATCTTCCATTTTTAATTTGAATAAAAAAAGAATAAAATCTAAATTATCCATAAATTATTTCTAAAGAACAGATATTAGTTACAGGTCCAGTGAAGGATTTATTGTATCGGTGTAGTTGGTAACTCGCTCACTTCACCTTCCTCTTCCAATCACATCGGAGAAACTACGGTGGCTGTGACACACACAGCAAACGCAAACGCCTCTTTCTATAGAAACATGGTCAAACATGGCAGACTCTGCCAGAAGAGGAACCGCTCCCTCTGTAGATAAAAACGTCTCATTCTTCCTTATTTCCAGGGGATTAAACACTAATGAAAACATACCTATGAATATTATATTCAGTTTCTGACAACAGATCCTCCTCAATGTTAAATACTGGAGCTTTAAGAGGAGCCGGCTAACGTACGGTCATACACAGTAGAAAATATTCTGCATTTAGAATTGGTCGAATCAGATTATCCTCATCAACCATATGCTGGAATAAATGTTTATGAGTTTCTGTTAATCAAAAATGTAATTAACTCCATTAATCTTCTTTAAAGAAAATGTTTAAATGAAATACAATCAAATGTGGAGAGATGGTGGAGAGCTGGGCTGGCACAGTTAGGGGTTCATGTCCTTGGCAGTGCCCAGGAGGAACTGGCACCTCTCCGGCTACCAGTCCACACTCCACACTGTGGTCTGTGTCTCACTTTTTAAGTATTTTGTTTTCACAATACAAATAAAAATTACAAAATGAAGTCAGTGCCACTTAAATTTAATAAAGCTGCTTCATCAAGAACCTTTTTGAACTTAATAAAATAAATATTTTATAATAATACTGAGTTTGTGTTAAACTTTTCGCTGTAATCTGTTTCAGTAGAGTTAAAAAAAATTATATCATTACAGACTGAGCTGCTGCCACTCTGTTAATGTAACTGTAATCTAATTACACATCTGTTCAAGTGTAATCTGAGTTTATTATAGCTATTATTTTTATATAAAGCAGCAAATACTCACATTTAATAATACTGGCTGGTTTAGACTCAAACGACAGATATGGATATCAGCTCATTATTGTAGCGCCGCTCAATAGAGATTTCTAAAGAACTGTAGGCCGCCCTGTCCTCCTTCATCTCCGTACATCTAATCCCATCTGTAAATGTATTTATCAGCAGTTTTTAAAGAGACTTTATGTGAAACCTCCAGAAACTCATGAACACTGTTGGAGAGAACCATTACTAAGCAGCATATTCTCACACTCAGAGGCAGTCTTGCATGCTCGATATTACAGATTTTATTAACTGAACCTCTGCAGCTCGTCTCCATCTCACACACCAGTTAACTTTATCACACATTATCACAGCGTCCTTCCTCATTAGCAGCTCCAGGACGACACCATCCATTCACTGGGGCTGGTAATTGAAAGAAAGGGTACATAAGCAGAAAGACGACTCCACATCCACAGTCTCTAACCTCCAGAAAAAAGTGGGTGTCAAACAGTCAAACAGGGCATTTGCTGTTTTTCTCTCTATTACATTAATGTCAAATTAATATCTTTGTGTTTGGGACAGTTTGTCTCATAGAAGAAGCCGTTTAAAGACGTCATTTGGACATTTTTCACTACTTTCTGACATTCACACAACTATGGTTCACTGTAACAATGATTCTACACTGACACTATTAACTCTAATTAAACTTAATAAATGAATTAATACTCCCACCTTGTAGGAGCAGATTATTTCCTGTGAATAATCATCAGAGACGAGTTTTCAGGATATTGTTAGGAACTTTTTATACAATTCTGTCTGTTTTATGTCATATTTATTTTTTTTGCAACCTAAACTTTAAAAAAAATACAATTGAATTTAGTTTTCTTCTGGGTTCCCACTCTTTTAAAGAAATCCCAGTACAGGACAGCACTGCACACAGTCAACGTTTAATGGACGCTCAGCGTTAGATCACTTGGCTGATTTCGACCCCTCGTGGGGGTCCAGGTTGGGAAACACTGATTTACAGTAAGTGCAAAGAAAACTTTATTTAAAGAACTTTTATCAAACAAAGTTCTTTATATTTAGGACAAGATATAACATATATGACTATCAGGACATCGGTACACTAGCAGAGGAGAAAGAGTGGATCTTACCTGACAGTGAAGTCGTACGAGCAGGACGCCAACAGAGTCTTACTGAACGGAGAAAACTGCAGGGATACAAACGCACTGTAATCAGGATCAAATGTTCTTTATTTCTGCATTTCAACACATGAGGGTCACTATATTTACTTCATATCCATGAACGCAGTGAAGGATTTATTTAGTTGTGGTGGGAACCCCATTGAATGTGTGGGACTCCTCAGTAACACTTTGATCTATTCAGAGCTGGTTTCATGTTGTACTGGAGTCTGTTTCTGGAGGCCCCCCCCGCTTGTAAAAAGGTGTGAATGTTTCTTTCCATCTGAGTGAGAAGGGCTTGAGGCAGGTGGAGCAGTGAGGGGATTGTGCCGACACACACAGAGTCCACAGAGAGTCATTTCACCGACTGTTGGCTAAGCTCTCCTAAATTAATTTATTCCTTCATTTGTTCCCCCTCTCTGCGTCTGCCAGTTTCACCTTCCTTATCAGAGTGTGAGCCTCGTTTAACACCGTCCTCTCTTTCTCTCTTTCTCTCTGTACTTTAATATTTTCAGCTGCTTTATCCGCAGCGTCAGCAGAAGTCATTTGTAACCAAACAGCAACAAACAGAACAGAGTGAGCGGCTGAGAGGATGAAGAATAGAATCATCAGAGAAAACTGCTTTTAACACTGTTTTCTTCATTTTCACTCTTTTTCCTTTAATATGTTTATAATCTCTCTTTGTATCCATCTGAATCAGTTTAAATGTATTTTCACAAGTATGCCGTCCCCTCCCTCCCCCCTTCCTGTCTCTCTTCAGCTGTCACTGTCCAGTAAAGGCAGTAAAAGCCCAACAATATATAAAAAACTACTAAAATAAGACAACAACAACAACAACAAAACCCTAAAAAACTCAAACTGACAGCTGGGTGAAAGTGTGTCTCTACTCTTCTGCTGATGGTGAATCCTCTCTCCCCCCTTTCCCCTCTCTCTGCTCCCTCCACTGCTTACACTACATAATCAATACAGGCTGACAGATCTGCAGCACGGACAAAACACACACACACACACACACACACACACACACACACACACACACACACACACACCCTCAGTTTTAAAGTGAGTCCTCCCGATCGATTAGTGACACCTGTCCTGCAAAACACAGAGTGAGCGAGTTGTTTCCTCGACTGGGTGAACTCAGGTGAGTGTGTGTTTGTACAACGTGTGTGTGTGTATTGATGACGTCTGTGTGTGTGTGTGTGTGTGTGTGTGTGTGTGTGACATGTGTCTAATCTGAGTAAGTGCGATGTGTTCAGGGTCTCCTCTGCAGCTGTCTTTCCTCACACACTCTCTAATATGTGTGTGTGTGTGTGTGGGGGGGGATCTTATTAGGTCCATTTATGTGGGTGTTTTGATGCTGTCAGACTCTGAATCTCTGACACACACACACACACACTTAGTGTTACAAGTGTGTGTGTGTGTGTGTGTGTGTGTGTGTTTGTGTTTATGTATGTCGTGTGTGTGTGTGTGTGTGTGCGTGCGTACCTTGACTCTGCGGATGGCGTAGGTGTGGCCTTGCAGTTGATTGACAGGCTGTCTGACGTTCCTCAGGTCCCACACACACACGCTGCAGTCGACTGATCCTGTGGCCACGATGTTCTACACACACACACACACACACACACACACACACACACACACACACACACACACACACACACACACACACACACCAATTCACAGTTATTAATAAAATATCTGTGATAATATTATCTTCCTATCATTAGAACTAATCTGTAGATTATATAGGAAGAATAAAGCTGCTTTTTAACAAACATAAAGCTAAAATAAAGGTTGTTGAATGAATTATTCATATATATTATATTATATCCGTCCCTGCAGGATTATTTTGGGATCATTGTGGAATTAAATGTCTGATGTCTCACAGATGTTTTGCAGCTAAATGTTAGGCAAAAAACGATCTAAAGATATTGTGATAATCAATAACTGGCTTTAAGGTGGACTGAACTTGATTGTCTGGTATCTTAAATACTCAGGGATAAAAACAGAAGGAATGTGGGCGGTTACCTGGTCATATTTGCACCAATCACAGCTGAGGACTTCAGCCTTGTGCGCTGGGACGGCCAATCGACACGCTGCGCTCTTCACATCCCAAATCCTGAGCGTCCCGTCACCTGAAAGCAGAGATACAGCAGAGATTTACCCAGAATGCTCAGTACAAGCACAGCCCGTACTGGTGAGCTCTGTTCAGGGTTTGATGGCGCTGTAACTTTAGTTTTAGAGGAAGTAGAGACAGATCTGTTATTTTAGGTATCGTCTTACCATCAGTTTGGTTTTAATTAGTTATTTAAAGATATAAAAGGGGCTTTCAGGGGGAGGCCTGCTCGCCACTGAGTCGGCCGGGCGGCACCAAATGACGTCACCGGTGCGAAATGTCAGCAGCCGTATTTGGGGTGTTTTGGCTTCATAACACTAGATTTATTAATTAGTCATTAATGAGCCACCTGAGCTGCTTTAGAGGAAGAGAGAGCGAGTTATAGAAACAACCAGAGAGAGAGAGAGAGAGAGAGAGAGAGAGAGAGAGAGAGAGAGAGAGAGAGAGGAATATAACTGAGTGTGTGTGTATTAGTAGAAGTTATTCCCTTATGAACCACAGTCCTCATTTCAGGGACCACTTCATTATGGCATCAACCCAACAGTGTGTGTGTGTGTGTGTGTGTGTGTGTGTGTGTGTGTGTGTGTGTGTGCGTGTGGTTGAGGGTCTGCCAACACACTGCGACAATCATAAAGCAGAACCTTTACTCTAAGTTCTCCTCCCTTCTCTCCTCTTCCTCATTCATTTCACACCCTGCAGTCTCTGCGTCCGACCGGCGGCCTCTCAGTGGGATTCAGACCAACAACCTCTGAAACACTGACTGCACCTGACTGAGAGTTAACACTGGAATTAAGAGAATAAACCTCTTAAAAGTATCAATAAAACCAAATATAACCAACTAACTGAATGAATTACTGATTTAAGAGTGTGTGATTGTTACCTCTGTATCTGATATTCTTTATGCTAACAGGCAGCACACAGAAACTTTTACAAACAGTGTGAATGTGCTTCTAGTGACTGTGGAAGCTCCAGCTGACTTTATTTATATTTGAATAATTATTGTGATAATACCACTTTTGCCATATTGTCTTTAAGATGCTGTTTGAGTTTCATCCAGCTGACATGAACTGTTGCTCTCCTTCAGGGAACAGAAGTCATGGTTTAACATTTAGTGTTGGCCTTTATTGGTTTGTAATACTGACGCTCGTGTGGTCCAAAGAACAGTGAGGAAGGATGAAAGTCAGCGAGCTGCCAAATAAAGAAATGAGTTTAATAGGATTACGTGAGCAGGACTCGGAGACAACGCCACCTAAAGTCCCTCCGAGGCTAACGCGACTAAAGTGTGAACAACCCGCTCACTGTTAGCTGCAGATTAAAGAGAGAGCTTCACCTCCCGTTTACTGACCAGCAGATTAATCCTCCCCCTCACTATTTCCTCCTCATCCTCTCCTCCTCCTCTTTAATCCCAGCCACACTCTCTTCCAGACCACATCCTCCCGCCCTTTATCGATTCTTCTCTTAACTCTTCACATCTGTCTTTTTATTTATTCCTCTTCCTCCCTCACACACACTCCACCTCACAGCCACGCGTGGAAGCTGCTCTGGCAGAGAGAGAGAGAGGGAGAGAGAGAGAGTGTGTGTGTGTGACTGTGTGTGTGTGTGTGTGTGTGTGTGTGTGTGTGTGTGTGTGTGTGTGTGTGTGTGTGTGTGTGCTTTCTGCAGCACATTAGAGGTTGACTTCTGTAAAAGGGTCTCGCTCTATTACACCTGGTATCTCTGCTGTATCAGCAAGTTCAGCCAACACACACACACACACACACACACACACACACACACACACACACACACACACACACACACACACACACACACACACACACACACACACACACACACACACAGACACATACACACACTCACACACACACACACACACACACACACACACACACACACACACACACACACACACACTCACAGTCGCAGTCACACACACACACACACACACACACACACACACACACACACACAGTCACAGTCACACACACACACACACACACACACACACACACACACACACACACACACTCACACACTCACACACACACACACTCACACACTCACACACACACACAGACACACACACACTCACACTCACAGTCACACACACACACAGTCACACACACACACACACACACACACACACACACACAGTCACACACACACACACAGACACATAAACACAGACACAGACACACACACACACACACACACAGTCACACACACACACACACACACACAGACACACACACACTCACACTCACAGTCACACACACACACACACACACACACACACACACACACACACACACACACACACACACACACACACACACACACACAGTCACAGTCACACACACACACACACACACACACTCACACACTCACACACACACACACACAGTCACACACACACACACACACACACACACACACACACACACACACACAAAGTCACAGTCACACACACACACACACACACACTCACACACACACACACACACACACACACAATCACACACACACAGTCACACACACACAGTCACACACTCACACACACACTCACACACTCACACAATCACACACACACAGTCACACACACACAGTCACACACACACACACACACACACACACACACACACACACACACACACACACACACACACACAATCACACACACACAGTCACACACACACACACACACACACACACACACACACACACACACACACACACACACACACACACACACACACACACTCCAAGAATCATCCAGGTGAGTTTCTTTCAGTTTCTTTGTGTTTTTATATAAAATCTAAACTAAATGTGACGCGTGCTGACGTCAGCATGAACTAACTGATTTCAACCAATGACATCGTGACATTCACCCGTCAATCAATCTGCAGAGCGAAGATTCATTAGTTAGCTGGCTAGCTAACAGCACGGCTAGCAAACACCTGAGCGTACCTGCTGCAGTTAGAGCACAGTCCCACCTTCCCAGTAAACCCTGGCTGCTGTCACTGGGACCATCTCAGCCAAAGCTGCCTTAAAGTAAATGAATACATTCATCAGAGACACTACACTCTGCTTTTCATTCACAATATCTGTCAGTCTAACCACTTATGCAGTAAAATCTTTTCATACCAGAATCCATTTCATATATGGGAGAGCTTGAAGAATATAAAAACATTGGGTGCCTTCCCACTAGCCTCATGAATGTTACTCACAAACATTCGATTCAACAGTCGGATTCCATTCCGATTTTTCACAATGCTGTTAAACACCTCTCAACCAGCTACATCTCCTTTAAAACTGTCGACGGCTGAACACCTGATGTGACTCTGAGCGGGAACGCTTCACTGATTGGCTCACATTGATCGTTCAGACCAATCAAGTGCAACCGTCATCATTTGGACTGCAGCACAGACTGGTATAGTTACTCTGTTACTGTAACATGACCAAAGACACTGCGGGACAAACATCTGGAAGATGTGCAAAATCCATAAAATTGCTGATATGAACTTTATTTGTCACAAAATGCAGGTGGAGGTGGAAAAGTTCCTGTGGTCAAAAACAGCCGACTCCTTCCTCTTCAAGCTAATCCCTCCGCGGGTCGTACTCCTCTCACCCTCCATGCACAGGTCTCTGAAGGCATCTAAAAATATCTTTCACTCAGTTTTCAGTGGAGGCTGACTGTGATGGCAGAGGGCGAGTGGGTGACCGTAGCGAAAGCTGCCTTCTGATTGTTTTTATTGCCTGATGGAGCTGAGATCAGCCACCTCCAGAGCGTATCTGTAAAGCCACCGCTACCGCAGCAGAGGCTGCAAACAAACAGCTGGTTGGTGTCTTCCAGCGAGGCGAGCTGGCAGAGCGCCCACGCTCTGCAACAAGCAGAGGAATTACATGCAGACTAAAGACATCGTGCTTCTTTTATTCAGAGATTATTTCACTGCAGCTTTCACTTTATCTGCGTTAAAGTCTGTGAACGGTGACAGAAAACATGAGTGGTGGCAGGAGACAACGACAGAGGATGTTGGTTCAGAGGAATTTTATCTTTTATCAAAAAAATGACATCGTTATTTTAAAAAGTGTAGCTTAAACTATCAAAATACTACAATTCTAAATGACAATACTTAAAGAAGGTTGCTGAAATGTAATTGAAAATAAGTTTTACTTAATAATTGGTAACATAAACATTTATTGGACCAACCTCCATTTTGGTCAGTGCAGTCTAAAGACCTTCATGATGAAGGCCGCAGCACACCACGATGCACGGACCGCGAGGGCCCGTTTGTCACTGCTGCAGCTTTAAATCACATTAATAATTGAATTATAATTAATTATAAGGATTAAAGTTATGTATAATTAAGGGCGTGGCTGTTTTCAGTAACCAGGCTTTACTCAGCCCCACCACACTGAGTTTGACAACCGCTCTACAGAAACCTGTAGGGGACGTCACGGAGACTACGGCCTGTTTTTCCAACAAGGTTTCATGACTTGAAAAGAGAAAGAGTAAAGAGAGTTGAGTAGTTTACTGAAGCTCTGATTTGTTGCGGAGCTGAGACTCCCTGGCTGGCACCAGGGACGACACTGGAGGAGATCTGGAGGGCAGACTGAAGCTCTCCTCTCCTGCTGATGCCGGAGGTGCTGATCTCATGTGGCAGTGAAGCAAATCGAGGGGATGGAGAGAGGATGAGAGGAGTGAGAAGAAGAGGAGGAGAAACATGAGAAGATGTGAGGAGGAGAGGCAGCGAGGAGCATGGGAAGCCCCGATAAGCTTATCGAAATGAGACGCCATCTGCCCCCCTGCCTTCCCCCATATCTCTCTCTCTGTTTCTCACTTCCTCTTCAAAGCCGGTGGTGGCGGTAGCCTCTCAACCCCTCTGCTGCAGAGTGCCACCAGCGGGGACGCCTCCACTGGGAGATAAGGCAGCGATTCTCCACCCTGCGCTAATGCTAGCTAGAGTTGTTTGACAACTCATTATCATCCATCCACTCATCCATCCATCCACTCATCCATCCATCCGTGTAGCACCAGAATAACACATCAGCTCTGCGACGTTTGTTAGTTTTATTCTCTGATATTTAGTCTAAAAACTCGATCTTTGTCTCTCTGTTTACAGTGATTATGTAAAACCTCTGGAGGCCGCGCTGGAGGGAACGGTGACATCTCATTTCTGTTTGAGCTTTAACATGAGAGTTTACAAACTGCTTAACAGGCAGTAACACACCGACTCATGTAACACACACGTAGACTGTATGTGTAGATTTATGCAAAGAACTGTCAGTTAAATGTTATTAAACTGAGTTCTTTCTGTTTTTCTTTCAGGGTCCAAACGGACTCATCTGCCATTACACACAAAAAATACACATATACACATTTTATTATCCTTGTTACTGATTCTATTTGTTATTTCTGCCCACTTTCTTAATCTATTTTATTAAGTTTTTAGTATAGCCTTTATTAAATACTATCGTTACAACTGTAAAATTGATTGTGTTGTATTTTATTGTCATTTTTATGTTATATTCTATTTTTAAATCTAGGTTATTCCATTTTTATTCCATTGTGTCTTATGATCGGTCAGTCTTTGAACTGTATGAAAGGTGTTTTACCAATAATGTTTGGTTTATTGATAGATGACATTTATTAGTAATTAGTTACAGTACTAGTTAGTGGTGAAAGTAATAATATTACTGTAATGTTATTACTGCACTGAAACCGAGATGCTCTGAAGTCTTTATTTCTTCAGCAAGCTCAGGTTGAGTCTTACACTTCATTTCTGTCTAACCTTTGTCTGCCTTCACTGTAGACCTCTGCGGCTTTACAGCAGCTCCTCTGAGACACTGAAGGAAACCAGCAATTTCAAGACGGACCAACAAAAGGTCGATTTCCTTTCCGGTTTACTTACAGTCGGTGATCACCTGTGTCCTCACACAGAGACAAACATTCACTTTGGTCCCCTCTCTGCTCTTTATTAATGCTTCGCTCAAAGGCACTACGTCTGGGTCAGTCTGGGGAATATCTCTATCTCCCCCTGGTGGCTGAGCGGGTGTACAGTGGCAGAGCTTCAGTCTCTGATCAGCAGCCTCGTCCTGCATTATAACAACCACAGAGCTCACAGAACAGTGAGGAGGAAGTACATATATATAAGACAGGAAGAGAATGAAATAAAAAGTACCGAAAATACCAGGAAGACTCATCTCTGATCAATATTCATCATTTCAGCTGCTGGTGTTACTGGGAAACTGTGTGTGTGTGTGTGTGTGTGTGTGTGTGTGTGTGTGTGTGTGTGTGTGTGTGTGTGTGTGTGGTTTAAACATCTGGCTCCAGGTGTTTGTTGTTCCTGGAAGAACTGAACAGTACATGTTGTGCTAAAGTTTCCCCGAGGACAGAGATAACACACGCACACGCACCACACACACACACACACACACACACACACACACACACACACACACAGCCTTTGTCTCTGATGGATGCCTGCTATCAATTATTTAACCAGACTCTACCTGCTATCACTGAACAAACACACACACACACACACACACACACACACACACTGTCCATCTGTTAATTGTGTGTGTGTGTGTGTGTGTGTGTGTGTGTGTTTCAGTGTTCTGCAAAACATCATTTGGCTGACAAGCACTTTACTTTGTGACACACACACACACACACACACACACACACACACACACACACACACACACACACACACACACTCAGCTCAACTCAGAGGTAGAGAGTGTGAAGGATTTAGTGACATCTAGTGGTGAAGTTTCAGACTGCAACTAACTGAATACCACTCGGGAATGAGAACAGGCTGTGAAGTGTGTAGGAGAAACTACAGTGTCCAACTCTTCCTCACAGGTTAGTTAATGACAGACAGTCAGTGAGTGTGTCTGTGTCCAACTCTTCCTCACAGGTTAGTTAATGACAGACAGTCAGTGAGTGTGTCTGTGTCCAACTCTTCCTCACAGGTTAGTTAATGATGTTACTGAGTCAATGTGAGCAGATTGTGTCTGTAGACTGAAGAGAATCAGAGTCTCTCTGATGGTGGAAATAAAGGTTTTACTTCCTTAAAACAGCCGTTTTTTGAATGGAGTTTGGTGTGACAGTGTGGAGCAGAGGGGATTTGAAACTTAATAATTCCAATAAACTGAGCTGACCTACCTTCTAATAATGAACCTTGTAAACAGCAGAAAGTAACAGGAAGTGGAGATAAACCCTCCTGTTTTCTTCTTCTGTGGTAGTAAAAGGTAGATTAATGAACACAAACATTAGTTTCCAGTTAATAAAGAGTCTGAACCACAGGAACAGGGACAGACCACAGAAATATGAGAGTCAGTAAGGTAGCTGTATATTTAAGGACTAATCAATAAGTATTTCTGTATATTTCATACATTTCATTACAGCCTAACTGTCTGCACTGCTGGCTGTAGGATCTAAGCTCCTAATAGCTAAAAGGTGATATGGTTATTCTGTGGTTATTCTGTGGTTATTCTAGTTATTCTGTGGTTATTCTGTGGTTATTCTGTGGTTATTCTGTGGTTATTATAGTTATTCTGTGGTTATTCTGTGGTTATTATAGTTATTCTGTGGTTATTCTGTGGTTATTATGGTTATTATGGTTATTCTGTGGTTATTATAGTTATTCTGTGGTTATTCTGTGGTTATTATGGTTATTATGGTTATTTATGGTTATTCTGTGGTTATTATAGTTATTCTGTGGTTATTCTGTGGTTATTATGGTTATTATGGTTATTCTGTGGTTATTCTGTGGTTATTATGGTTATTCTGTGGTTATTATGGTTATTATGGTTATTCTGTGGTTATTATGGTTATCCTGTGGTTATTCTGTGGTTATTCTGTGGTTATTCTGTGGTTATTATAGTTATTCTGTGGTTATTCTGTGGTTATTATGGTTATTATGGTTATTCTGTGGTTATTATGGTTATTCTGTGGTTATTCTGTGGTTATTATAGTTATTCTGTGGTTATTCTGTGGTTATTATAGTTATTCTGTGGTTATTCTGTGGTTATTATGGTTATTATGGTTATTCTGTGGTTATTCTGTGGTGCTGCAGCGGTGTCTGGCTGAGCTGCAGGTCAGATGTGAACATGCAGCTGTTAACGTCAGTCCACAGTAACGGCTCCATGATGGAGGTCAGTGCTCAGTAAGTCATTTAGCTGCAGAGCTCCACCGGAGGACTTATCTGATCTAACGAGCTCTGTGTTTCTGCTCCGAAGCTCAACAAACAACACCTGACCTCTGAATTCTGCAATTAAATTAGCCTTCGATTGGGCACCCGGTTAGCTCAGTGGGTAGAGGTGGCCACCCACGTACCGAGGCTGAGTCCTTGCTGCAGCGGCCTAGGGTTCGAATCCGACCTGCGGCCCTTTGCTGCGTGTCATCCCCTCTCTCTCTCTGCCCCCCTTTCCTGTCTGTCTTCAGCTGTCAACAATAATAAAAGGCAATAAAAAAATGAGCCTTCGATTTCAAATAGGTATCAGTATTTACATCTTTAGTGACCTGATGTAGCAGCTTCTTGTTGTTCAGTCTGTATCTCCATTATTCTGTTTATTTTCCTTTTTAACAGACTGTTTCATCTGTTAAGTGATTGTTGGTGTTGAATTGTCCGTATTTACAACATGAGACACTAATATGGACTATTAAAACAGTTTCAGTCATTTGAAAAGATCCTCTCTGTTTTATTGAACTAAAATAGAGATTAATTAATAATTATGTGCAGCGCTAACTGAAAACTGAACTTAGATATGTGCTAGGCTAATCTATGTTGCTAAGTAGCTAGCTATAAGTTATAAAATAAATAGAAATAGGGTTGATATATACTGCCACACTGTATGAAAGGCTTCATTTTTACATTGAGATTTCTTTATTTAAATGTAATTGTAGTGAAACTGCCCCAGTTTGAACGAACTCTCTTATTTCTGTCACATGGTCCAACCAACAGGAACCCGAGCAGCTCAACATTAACTCTCACTACACGTCCTCTCGCTCTCACGAACCAATGAACCAGAACTCATTAGCCCACTAGTTTCACAGACTTGATGCTGAACTGACTCCGGCTGCTCTACAGTCTGTTTCAGCAGCAGCTGGCTCCGCCCCTCTGATAACGGTAGAGAGCGCTCCCACACAGACGGGAACAGAGCCGCTCTCCCTCCGGGGACAAACTCATACACCTCATTGTCTTCTGACTGAAACCAACTTCTAATACCTCCCTCCCTACAGAGCGAGAGGAGGAGAGGAGGAGAGGAGGAGGAGCTCCCTCCCTACAGAGCGAGAGGAGGAGAGGGAGGAGCTCCCTCCCTACAGAGCGAGAGGAGGAGAGGAGGAGAGGAGGAGGAGCTGCCTCCCTACAGAGCGAGAGGAGGAGAGGAGGAGAGGAGGAGGAGCTGCCTCCCTACAGAGCGAGAGGAGGAGCTGCCTCCCTACAGAGCGAGAGGAGGAGCTGCCTCCCTACAGAGCGAGAGGAGAGGAGGGGAGGAGGAGCTGCCTCCCTACAGAGCGAGAGGAGGAGAGGAGGAGGAGCTCCCTCCCTACAGAGCGAGAGGAGGAGAGGAGGAGAGGGAGGAGCTGCCTCCCTACAGAGCGAGAGGAGGAGAGGAGGAGGAGCTGCCTCCCTACAGAGTGAGAGGAGAGGAGGAAGAGGAGGAGCTCCCTCCCTACAGAGTGAGAGGAGGAGAGGAGGAGAGGAGGAGCTCCCTCCCTACAGAGCGAGAGGAGGAGAGGAGGAGGAGGAGGAGAGGAGGAGCTCCCTCCCCTACAGAGCGAGAGGGAGGAGAGGAGGAGAGGAGGAGGAGCTGCCTCCCTACAGAGCGAGAGGAGGAGAGGAGGAGAGGAGGAGCTGCCTCCCTACAGAGCGAGAGGAGGAGAGGAGGAGAGGAGGAGGAGCTGCCTCCCTACAGAGCGAGAGGAGGAGAGGAGGAGAGGAGGAGGAGCTGCCTCCCTACAGAGCGAGAAGAGAGGAGGAGAGGAGGAGAGGAGGAGAGGAGGAAGAGCTGCCTCCCTACAGAGCGAGAGGAGGAGAGGAGGAGGAGCTGCCTCCCTACAGAGCGAGTGGAGAGTCACTGAAGTTGTTAACTTGCAGACAGTAATGGGCTAGTTACTTATTTAATGCATTACTCCCTGTAAACAGTAATTAGTTACACTGCGAGTTACTTATTTAATGCATTACTCCCTGTAAACAGTAATTAGTTACACTGCGAGTTACTTATTTAATGCATTACTCCCTGTAAACGGTAATTAGTTACACTGCGAGTTACTTATTTAATGTATTACTCCCTGTAAACAGTAATTAGTTACACTGCGAGTTACTTATTTAATGCATTACTCCCTGTAAACAGTAATTAGTTACACTCCGAGTTACTTATTTAATATATTACCCCTGTAAACAGTAATTAGTTACACTGCTAGTTACTTATTTAATGTATTACTCCCTGTAAACAGTAATTAGTTACACTGCGAGTTACTTATTTAATGTATTACTCCCTGTAAACAGTAATTAGTTACACTGCTAGTTACTTATTTAATGTATTACTCCCTGTAAACAGTAATTAGTTACACTGCTAGTTACTTATTTAATATATTACTCCCTGTAAACAGTAATTAGTTACACTGCTAGTTACTTATTTAATGTATTACTCCCTGTAAACAGTAATTAGTTACACTGCGAGTTACTTATTTAATGTATTACTCCCTGTAAACAGTAATTAGTTACACTGCTAGTTACTTATTTAATGTATTACTCCCTGTAAACAGTAATTAGTTACACTGCTAGTTACTTATTTAATGTATTACTCCCTGTAAACAGTAATTAGTTACACTGGGAGTTACTTATTTAAGGTATTACTCCCTGTAAACAGTAATTAGTTACACTGCGAGTTACTTATTTAGGTATTACTCCCTGTAAACAGTAATTAGTTACACTGCGAGTTACTTATTTAATGTATTACTCCCTGTAAACAGTAATTAGTTACACTGCGAGTTACTTATTTAATGTATTACCCCTGTAAACAGTAATTAGTTACACTCGAGTTACTTATTTAATGTATTACTCCCTGTAAACAGTAATTAGTTACACTGCTAGTTACTTATTTAATCTATTACTCCCTGTAAACAGTAATTAGTTACACTGCGAGTTACTTATTTAATGAACCAATGATCAGAAAGTCTCTACAACCTCTGCACTGTGTGACCTGTGCTGGCTCACCTGACGCTGAAGCAAAGCATCCTGGGATGTGAGGGGACCAAATGGTGCTGTAGACGACCCCTTCATGACCCCTGAGTGTGGTCAGAGAGCGGCTGAGAGCGGGGTCCCACTGCGAGGACACACAACAACAACACACATGAAGACCCACAACAACAACAACAACAACACATGAAGACACAACAACAACAACAACAACACAAACACATGAAGACACAACAACAACAACACACACACATGAAGACACAACAACAACAACAACAACAACACAAACACATGAAGACACAACAACAACAATACAACATGAAGACACAACACAACAACAACAACAACACACATGAAGACACGCAACAACAACAACAACAACAACAAAACACATGAAGACACAACAACAACAACAACAACAACACAAACACATGAAGACACAACAACAACAACACACATGAAGACACAACAACAACAACAACAACACAAACACATGAAGACAACAACAACAACACACACACATGAAGACACAACAACAACAACAACAACAACACAAACACATGAAGACACAACAACAACAATACACATGAAGACACAACACAACAACAACAACAACAACAACACATGAAGACACGCAACAACAACAACAACAACAACACAGACACACACAGTGAACTCACCACTTTAGAGCTCTGATCCCACGATCCAGAGACGATGAGGTTCTCTCCTCTGGTCTGACTCCAGTCCACAGAGTACACCTACACACACACACACACACACACACACACACACACACACACACACACACACACACACACACACACACACACACACACAGACACACACACACACACACACACACACAGACACACATACACGCCACACACAGATCAATAAACAGTTTTCAATGTGTGTGTGTCTGTGTGTGTGTGTGTGTGTGTGTGTTTTACCTCCTGTGTGTGTGTGTGTGTGTGTGTGTGTGTGTGTGTGTGTGTTTTACCTCCTGTGTGTGTTCTTTGGCCACTCTCAGCGGAGCGCTGTGATTGGCTGTGTCCCACAGCTGCAAGCTGCCGTCCCCGCCCCCGGCGACCATGAGATGCTCGTTGGATTCGCTCCACGCTACATCGAACAGACCGTCACTCCACTCCCAGCTGACACACACACACACACACACACACACACACACAGAAAACTCTTCATTGAGCTGAATTTAACTCTGTACTTTATATTAGCTGAAATATCTTATTAAGACAAAGTTAAATAGATTTTAGATTCTAGAGCAAACAGCAGGAAAATGATTCAATAAAAAAGAAGAAATGGAGAAAGAAGAACTAGAAGTGAAAGATATTAAAGAAAGAGACTTTACCTCCTCACCAGAGTGACTCCAGTCTCAGTCTGATCCAGGACCAGCAGAGTGCCACAGCCTACAAACACATTACACTGCTTCATGTGGTCACATTCTTCATTCATTCATTCACAGAAACCAAAAAGCAACATAAAGTGTTTCAGTTTAATATTCTTCTAAAGATCTTGGATCCAGTTCCTGACCGACCACATTCATTAAGCTCTGATGAATCTCTGTTTATCTCTTCTGGCTGTGTGTCAACTCTAATATGGCAGAGACAGTGTGAGTCTCCTGGTTACTCTGATGGGTTAGGGGTTGGGGGGTCCTCCTGCAGTCAAAGAACCACTGTAACTGTAACTGTGACTGTACAAAAGGCTTTTATTTTGAAGGTGTGTTTAGGGGAAGTGATGCAATCACCCCCGTGGAGCGGTGAGCTGCACAGCCTACAGCCGAGTCGACTGACTTTTTTTCCTTTCTGCCTTTTACACCTTGACACACCTGTGGGGACTTATAGTATATTTCGCGTTTAACTCAGGTTGTTTTTGTTTGGAGTGTGTTTTTATTGTGCTACTCCGAGTGTTAAGTGGATGCACGAAGTAAGTATTGTTTCTATATTGTGTTAATTATGGCGCACCTCGTTAACTCTCATGTGTGTTTTTCCGTTGATAGGTACTCCTGAAAGATACTGAGCGAGCAGCGATCTACAGAGCAGAAATGCAGAAGCTCATTGGAGCAGGAGCGGTGCAAGAGGTCACCGAAGAGAAACCATCTGAGGAGTATTGGTACATTCTCCATCACTTAGTCGCTCACAATGGGAAGAATCGGCTCATCTTCAACTGCTCTCACCAATACCTTGGGCAAACTCTGGACCAGTACCTACCACCCGGTCCCACCCTTGGAGCTTCCTTGGTGGGCGTCTTACTGCGGTTCCGGGGGCATCCTGTTCCAGTAAGTGGAGACATCAAGGGGATGTTTCATCAGGTCCGCCTCCTTCCTGAAGATCACCCTCTACTGAGGTTCCTATGGCGTGACCTGAAAGTGGATGAGCCCCGAAGAGTATTTGAGTGGCAGGTCCTGCCCTTCGTACAACCTGTAGCCCCTGTTGTGCTACGTATGCACTGTAGCGCCATGTTACCGATCACTGCCAGCCTGAAGACATCCTGAGGTTCTCTGTCGACCATTGCTTCTACGTCGATAACTGCCTACAGATTGTGCGTATCCCAGAGGAAGCCAAGCAGTTGGTGGATCGCCTTAGAGATCTTCTGTTTTCAGCAGGCTTCGAGCTGCGGCAGTGGGCCTGCAATGAGCTAAGTGTCCTGGATCACCTGCCACAAGAGGCCCAATCGCAGAGCCTAGACTTGTGGTTGGCACAAGACAAGGCCAACCCTCAAGAATCGACCCTGGGAGAAAGACTGCCTGAGCTACAAGCACAGGCCGGTGTCCTACGATGCTCCGACCCTGAGGAACATCTATAAGGTCCTAGCTTCGCAATACGACCCCTTAGGTTACCTGTTGCCTTTCTCCACCCGGGCAAAGCTCATCATCTGGCAACTGTGGGGTAAGCAGCGAAGTTGGGATGACCCGAACTTACCTGCAGCTCTGCTTCAAGCCTGGTCCACCTGGGAGGATGAGCTGAAGTTCTTGCCTCTCCTTACCTTTCCTTGAGCATACATGCCCACAGACCTTGACCTGGAGGCTGTCACTCACGAAGTGCACATCTTCGCCGATGCTTCAGAATGGGCTGTGGCCTATCTGAGGACAAAGACGAAAGAGGGCCAGATTCATCTGTCTTTTATCCCCGCTCGTTCCAGAGTAGCCCCCAAACGTGTACATTCCATCCCACGCCTGGAACTGTGTGCCGCACTGGTAGCAGCACAACTAGCTAGTCTCCTCACCAAGGAACTCACCTTGGATGTGGCTCACACCACTCTGTGGTCTGACTCTACCACAGTGCTTACCTGGCTCCATTCCCAGTCCTGCCGCTTCAAGGTGTTCGTTGGGGCAAGAGTGGCAGAAATACAGGACCTGACTGAGAACTGTACCTGGCGCTATGTGGACTCCAGACAACCTGACAATAGGTAAAACACTGGAAGAGCTCAAAGATCCTAACTGGTTGTCCCAGGGACACCCCCCTTCCTGCTGCAAAGCCCAGACAGCTGGCCAGAAAGGCCCACTTGAACCCCCAGAGGATCACGCAGAGCTCCGCGCCTTTTGTGGAGCTACAGTCACCTCACCTACTGACAGTGGGCCAGATGATAAAAGATACAGTTCCTGGCAAGAACTCATGGACGACACTGTCAAAGAGCTCCAGGGAACGACCCCCTCTAGTTCCCCACCCACAGCTGAGGATAATCAGCAAGCAGAAACCGGAATCCTACTGAGATCTCAGAAGCAGTCCTTTCCTGAGGACTACAAGCTCCTGGCTGGAGGGAAACCAGTGTCACCTTCAAGTCGTCTACTCACCTTAGCACCTGTCCTCGGTTCAACCTCTGGCTTAATAATGGGTGGTCGGCTCAGACGGCTGGATGATGTTGACGTCCCCCTACATCCTGTTGTCCTTGATGCCACTCATCCCGTGACACATCTGCTCATCCGGAAGTATGACAGCGATTTGCATCACCCAGACCCCAAGCGAGTATTTTCAGAGCTGCGGAGATCATTCTGGATCATCAGAGGGCGGGAGGCAGTCCATAAGCATCAACAGTCCTGTGCTGAGTGTCAACATTGGAGGAACCAGCCTTCTATTCTGAGAACATGGTTCCAGTGTTGCGGCAGCGGCTTGCCCGTCAGAAGATCAAGTTCCACTTTAACCCTCCTGCTGCTCTCCATTTCGGTGGAGTATGGGAGCGGGAAGTTCGGTCAGTCAGGTCAGCACTTTACACGTGTGTCGGATGACAACCAGTTGCTGAAGAAGTGCTACTCACCATGCTCCTGGAAGGGGGCCTCAAAACAAAACAATAAGGAATATATAACAAAAAAAACCCAAAACCAATCCTCCAAAAAAAAAAAAAATTTTGTTGGGGGGGGGTTGTTTTTTTCTTCCCTCGGGGGGTGGGAAAGGAAAAAGAAAAAAAAAAAGGGCTTCAAGCCTGGCCGACCAATTCTGGTCCCGATTTATAAGAGAATACCTGTTATACCTATTGTGTTAATTACGACGCACCTTGTTAACTCTCATGTGTGTTTTTCCACCGATAGGTAACGGATGTCCGTTGTTTAACATTGTTTACGAGTATAATCTGAATGCTGAAGCTTTGTGAGTGGTTTGAGTGTCCAGTGAGCTAGCAGTCGGTAACTTGACGTAGTTCGGGTGGTTAATTGCTCAGCAGGGGGCCATATGCGCCATGTGCCATTGTTTATTTAATACCTGGTTTAGCCAGTAGATGGAGCTATTGGACCAGTTAACCTATTATTATGGTTAATATGTATTTCTGTTGGTGTAAATGTCATTATTATTGTTGCACATGTACAGGAGAGTTGTATATATTTTTCTGCTTATGTAAGCACATTTATTATTATGGAGATGATGGTTTATAATGTGATTTATTATTATTATTATTATTATTATTTCCAGAACTGTGACAACACTGAGTGTTCAATAAATCACTTCAGTCATCAGATCTGCTGGCAAAGAAGACATATCCTGTCCTCATTCCTGTGTCCTGACTGACACTGCATCTCTGCTGTATAAACCTAAACGAGCTAGCATTAGTCCTTCCCTCACAAACTGTAACTGTAAGTGTAACTGTAACTGCACTGTGACTGTAACTGTAACTGTAAGTGTAACTGTAACTGTAACTGTAACTGCACTGTAACTGTCACTGTAACTGTAACTGTAAGTGTAACTGTAAGTGTAACTATACGAACCAGCTATGCCGTAGTACTGGGAGGCGGTGCAGGCCACCCTGTTGGGGATGAACGGAGACACTTCCACAGCGTAGCCGTGACGGGCCGCACAGCGAAACACCTTCACCATGGTCGGCCTGCAGCCCCGCTGCGCCCCCTGCTGGAGGACACGAGGACTGCGATAGAAAACAACAGAGGATGAAGATATCATACTGTGATATGATTCAGAATTAGTGAGAGAATTATTATTATTATTATTATTAGCATCATCAATACAATTTTTACTGAAAGAATGATTAAAACCATGAAGATATTAAATGTTTGTACCAAATAAAGATGGAGAACTTTGGAGGTCAGAGAACTTCATTATAACGCTGTTTGTCTCTTTGTATACTGCACTGGGTCATATTGTGTAATAATATAATAATATATTCACTAATATCTGCATTAATGGTGCAGACCTAGCTGAGGCAACACAGATCATATTATACCAATAAATATATTACACACATATATATTTCTATATTTGCTCCATGTGGCCTCAGAACATCTGGACAACTGCTGGATTCAAATGTCTGATGGATTTATTCTAACTAACAAATAAAATGATTTATTTATATTAGAAAGCCTTTACGTAAATAACTAATGTTCTATTAGAGGTTACAACCTCTCAATAATCAAATAAATCACAGTTTAATAACAGGATCAAAATTCATTATGGCTCATCATACGATAAAAGTATAAAGGAATGTCAAATTATATCAAATTATCAACATTCAAAAGCTCTAATCTCTCTCTAGCTCTATCATTAACGAGCAGATATTGTAGTTTAAATGATGTTTTATTGTAGTTTTAATGTAGTTTTAATGTAGTTTTATTGTAGTTTTATTGTTGTTTTATTGTAGTTTTATTGTTGTTTTAATGTAGTTTTATTGTTGTTTTATTGTAGTTTTATTGTTGTTTTATTGTAGTTTTATTGTAGTTTTAGTGTTCTGTAGCTTTTTGTACTTACAGTCAGATCCAGTGTCACCTTTAATGTTAATGAATATGAACTGAATATAGAAAAGAAGGTGAATGTTAAAGAAATGAAATGAATTAATGTTTAAATAAATAAAAAGCTGTAGGAAACACCGTTAACCGTCCCCGGTACTCACAGTGACAGACAACCAGTCTCAGCCGTTAACCTCCCGTTGTATCGATCAGTTCACCGTAAACCGATCATTCAATCAATCGATCGATAAATCCGGTAAAAGAGACTCCAGCTGCTGACAGCCTCACCACTACAACCACTTCCGTGTTGTGATCAGCTGACCCAACGACCCGGATGAAGGCCGGTGGGGCTGTAAGTCTCGCGAGGTTCTTCTTCTTCTTCTTCTTCTTATAAGATTCCGGCAGTGTAGACGCTGTTAAGCGTGTTACTGCCCTCCACAGGTCAGATTTAGATCTAAATTCTCACATACAATCCTGTATCATGCAGAAACTGCAGAACTGCACCGGAGATCAGTTTGTATTTCTCACTGTGTCCAAACAGAAAAAGCCTCAACTCCAAGTCCTGTCAATCTAACAAAGAATACCTTTCTCTCTTCCCTATACTTTCTACATTCTAGGAAAACCTGCCTTACTGTTCCAACGATCCCACACTCACACAATCCAGAAACCTGTTTTCCTACAATGCACAAAGAATCATTGAACCCACAATGACCCAACCTCAATCTACAGAGTTTCACTGAATCCCTACGAGACAGAGAATCACATAAACATATTTTCCTAACTTTAGGTTGTATAGAAAAGAAGTGTCTACCCCTGGCTTCCCTTTGCCACCCTCTCTGCCATTCTTTCAGCCCGCTTTGATTATTTCTCTTAATTCCACTCTCCCCATGGATAAATGAACATCTACTTCTCTTCTTAAGCTTTCCTTTGCAGTGCGGTCCACCTGCTCATTCCCCCTAACCCCAGCGTGCCCCGGAACCCAGCAAAAGTAACGCTGCAAGCAAACCACATTCTAAAAACCACATTCAAAATGTCATTCATAATGTCAGGACGAGCTGTAGATTGTCCTGCTCTTAAGGTTTCCAGTGCAGCAGCAGAATCAGAGCAGATAGTGACTTCTTTAGGTCTGGCTTCCTCAATCCACCATAAAGCCCATAGAACTGCCATTAACTCAGTAGTGAAAACAGAGCTTCCATTAGAAATACATCGACCAATCTTCAACCCAATCTGCTCCACATACACCCCAAAACCAGCTCTCCCACTAACTGGATCTCTAGATCCATCTGTAAAAATAATTAAAGTACTCTCACTGATTGAACTAAGATGTTCCACTATTCTTGGAGTCACTTTCCTCTTATCTTTTCCTGAAGAAAAGAAAGCTCAATATTCAATTCAGGCATCACCCAATAGGGCTTAGGTAGCCATCTTGTGTGCTCTACATTACCTCCCTGTTCCAAGCCCAGCTTCTTAGCCCACTGGTTTACAGTGACAAAAAAAATATTATATTTATTATCTACTATCTCTTGTAACAGACACCTTGCTGGAAAAGTATGACTACACCCTCTAAGTTTAACCCAGTACTGTAACCCTCACTTAATGCGCCTTAACCATAAGGGCAGTTCTCCCATTTCAACAAGCAGGGCAGGGACTGGGGAAGTTCTAAAGGCCCCACAACAAAGCCTCAATGCCCTTGCATCTGACTTATCCAGAACAGCTTTAGAAGCAGATCCATACACAAAACTCCCATAGTCAAGAGCAGATCTGATCAAGGCCTGAAAAATTACCAACATCGTCTCCCTCTCAGCCCCCCACTCACACCCAACCAGACTTCTCATAACATTTAGAACTTTTCCACATTTCAGCACAATTTTATCTACATGCACAGCCCAAGTCATACGCTCTTCAAACCATACACCCAAACATTTAAAAACCTTTACCTTCTCCAATAAAGACCCATACATATACAGCCCTTTATTAGGTAACTTTCTTTTAAAACCAAATACAACATATTTAGTCTTAGATGCAGAAAATTTGAAGCCCCATGTGTTCCCCCATTCCTCTATAGACAATAATACTCTTTGAATCTGTTTTAAAACAAACTCTACATTACGCCCTCTTTTCCAGATGGCCCCATCATCTGCAAATAGAGACAACCCAAATCCTCTCTCTATTTTGCCAAAGATATCATTAATCATTATATTAAATAAAACTGGACTGATAACACTTCCTGGGTTCCGTTCTCTATTTCTACAGTCTTTGAACAGACACTACCAACCATTACTTGTATTGTTCTTTTCATTAAAAAAATCCTTAATCCACTTAAACATTCGTCCCCTTACTCCCAAGTCAAATATTTTAATCATTAATCCCTCCTTCCACAAAGAATCATATGCCTTCTCAATATCCAGGAATACACTCACTACTATTTCCTTATTGCTAAATGCCCTTTTGATATCCTGATCCAAAACTAACACTGATTCCATTGTCGACCTTCCCTTCCTAAAGCCATTCTGGACATCAACAAAGAGTCCTCTAGTTTCTATGAAGCACACTAGTCTGTTGGTTACCATCTTCTCCATTACTTTACAAAGCACTGCTGTGAGTGCTATAGGGCGATATGAACTAGGGTCAGATGGATCTTTGCCTGGCTTTAAAATAGGGACCACAACTGCATGTTTCCATTCCTTGGACAAATAACCCTCTGCCCACACCGTATTAAACAAAGCTAATATTTCATCAAGTACAATATCATCCAGATGTTTAAAAAACTCATAAGACAACCTATCTCTCCCCGGGGTAGTATTTACCCCAGACATAATTGCATCCTTCAACTCTTTTATAGTAAAAAACAGATTTATAGGATTATCGTTTTCTAAACTCCTTTCCAACTTCCACTGATTAACTGCCATCAGCTCAGTTCTCTTCCTACACCTCTCAGCCCCCATTCTCTCTGATCTATGTACTGCTTGAAAACTATCTACAAACATGTCTGCTTTTTCCTTATTGGAAACTGCTACTGTCTCACCCTTCTGTAACACTGGTATCAATCTTCTTTTATATACCCCTGACATTCTACGTATTACAGACCACAAATGCCTTACAGGAGTCTCAGGGCCTAGCGTACCACAAAACTTCCTCCAACTATTCCTCTTTGCATCCTTTATAAGTCTTCTTGCTACTGCCCTTAGCCGCTTGTACTCCATTACATTAACCAACATTGGAAACTTTCTTAGTCTTCTATATGCTCTATTCCTACTCCTTCCAGCTTGATCACACTCCTTATTCCACCAAGGAACCAGCATACGAGTCCTAGGTTCCTGCTTCAGAGGAATAGTACGGCAAGCGGCCTCATGTATCATAAGACTAATGGATGTATTCCAATTATCTACAGTACCCTCACTATCAATCTCTCCTACTAAGCTCTGAACCCTCTCCTGAAATTTATCCCATTTAGCCTGAGAAAAGTTATATCTAGGGGCTTTCTTTGCCACTTCTCTCCTCAATTCCCTACCAAATCTGCATAAAATAGGATAATGATCACTACCCAATGTATACGAGTCTATAACATCCCATTCACCAACTCTAGCTAAGTTTGACGAAGCGATTGACAAATCTATATGACTGCAGGTATTTCTGACAATATGATATCTAGTTGGCCTTCCATCATTTAACACTACTAACTCATATTTATCTATAAATTCTTCTACAATAACACCATTTTTATCCCTATGATCACTACCCCATAAAGGATTATGTGCATTAAAATCTCCAATCCATATAACAGGACACCTTACCTTCTCCATTATCTCATCAAAATCTGACAATACCAAAGGTTGACAAGGGTTATAATAATTTAGCACAGTAATAGAATTTTGACTGCTCCAAATCTCCACAGCCAAACACTCAAGATTGGAATTAATATCAATTCTCCTATACTGCAGCCCAATATTAACAAAAGTTGCACAGCCCCCACCTGATCTATCAGACCTATCTACTCTCAAACATTCATACCCTGGAATTACAAAATCTAGAGAAGGCTTTAACCAAGTCTCTTGAATACATATCAATTCTGGAGCTTCTTTAAATTCATCAACAAACCTTTTTAACTCCTGACCATTTCCTATTAGACTCCTGGCATTCCATTGAAGAATATACCACATTAAGATGCTAATGAGGATCCACATCATCCACTTCACCAACATCCTCCATACTGCTAACCCTCACCAACTGTGACCTATCCATAGGTTGACTCGCCTTCATGTATTGATGTAGCTCTTCTGGCAACTGCGTTATACCGAGGAACCTTTCAGCTGCCCCCACCACTAACCTAATAATATCTGAGCGATTAGCTGCTTTCTTAGCTCCTACCAACACATCAGACACAAAAGACAGAAATGACTCCTTTGTAAGATTCAACATATCAGAATGAAGGTCCCACTGCAATGTACTGTATTGAACTGGCTTCCTGACACTGCTCTAGTACCAGATATCCCTTTTCCACATTCTCTATCCACTCTTTGAACTGCCTTTGCATACGACACCTTGTTCAGCTCCCTCACATCCTGCCCCCGCTTAGCCTGAACAAATCGCTCACACCCGTGAAACTGTGCCCCATGATCCCCCTCACAGTTAGGGCACTTAGGAGCCTCTGCCTTGCAACTTTGTATTATATGATCTCCACCACACTTTGCACACCTTCTTTTACCCCGACAAGCCCCAGCAACATATCCAAATCTCTGACAGTTACAGCAGTGCAACGGTGGTTTAATGTACTCTCTCACATAATACGCCATACTCCCAAGAAACACTCTCTGTGGCAGTACACTATCTTTAAACGTCAACAGGACCGGCGGATCCCCGGCTCCATCCCTACGCTTAAATCTGATCACATCAGTTACCTGGGCCCCCTTAATGTTTTCTAAGATTTCCTTATCAGATAAGCCAGCAAACACTCCATACACCACTCCCTTGATTCCTTGCTGGCTTCCTCTAGGGATCAATGCCTCCACCTTGACCACCAGCTTCCCCACACCTCTAGCATCATTATACTGTTTCCTGTTTTTACAACAAACTCTTAACATTCCATTAAACAATATCTTGGCCTGAAATTCTTTGCCTATCTGACTCTCCAAAGCACTGGTAACTTTTAATGGATTCACTGCTCTAAATCCTGCATCTCCTAGATTAGTTCCCTTAACTTTAAACAGCACGACAAACTCTTCAGTATTTCCAGTTTTCCTAACCTTATTTCCTTCATCTCCTGACATTTCAGGTCTTTCACTAGATGCCCCCCTCTTAGAGCCCCCCTTTTCCTTCACCACCGTCTGCCACCCACCACCCTCATCCCCC